GGACAATCAACACAAAATAAGATTTGGAGGTAAGAATTCATAGTGTAGTTTCTGATGAGCTCTTGAAGAAGAGCCCATAGCATCCTGTCCCAGAATTCATTTGGAAGAAAATTCCCAGCCGAATCACAGTAGAAAGTTGGAAGCATACCCAAATGTTCTCCCTTTAGAAGAGGACAGACACTGTTGCACAGCTTGACTTTTTTAAACTTACTGTCTTCCTTTATCCATATCTGGGACACACACATACATAGAATTACATTTGTGCATACACAAAACTAACTGTGCAAAGTTGCACCTGAAAATTGAGAACAGGTGAAGTCATCCAAAGACTTGCGTTGAAGATATTATATATATATATTTTTTTTCTCTCTTTTATAAATAGTACAGTGGTTTAAAAGAAGGGAAATGGGCTACAGAAGACTCCTACTGGGTGTCTTTGGCTTCGTGCCTCAGCTGTCAGAGGAAATCAGTGAGCATCTGGGGACGTGGCTGCCACTCAGCATGGTTTATGCAAGTGGGACTGCTTTAGAGCACAGATTTCTCCAGATGACTACACCAGTTACTTCACTCACCTAGATAGCCTGCCAAAATCTCCCCTTGCCATAGAGTCCAGAAATCTCCCCAGCTGGGAACAAGTAATTTCATCCAATTTGAATTCCTTTTTGAAACAGTGTGTCACAAATTCCAGGGCTGGCAGGGGTGTGGTACATACTCATTTCCCAACACTACAAATCTAAAACAATGTTACTTTTTTCTTTCTCTTTAAAGAACGCTGACAATATGCATTGCTGGACTTTAAAATGTTTACATGATAGTTCTATGCCTAAAAAGGACCCCAAACTTTTTGTGTGTGCTAACAGTATCAGGCATGGTGACCGTCATCACAGCATGGTCTATGATGGGTTACCTGAGTTGCTAGCAAGGCATTGGCAAAGTAAACTATAGTAAATGATCTGATCATGGGAACCCTTAACTTCTCAACGTTGAGGGCACAAGACAGTGGGGGAGGGGGAGGTCTATCAGACAGTCCCCTCCTGAAATCTAAACAGAGGTTGAGGACTGGAGTTTCAATACTTCCTGGTGAAGACCTGCTGGACGGCCCCTGTAATTAGTTCCTAAGCCTGCTGCTTTCTCTCTTAGCTATACTGTCATTTCTTTGGCCCCAAACAGGTCTTTCCAGGGAATTCATTATTAATATAGCTAGAGACAGTCTGTCTTTTTAAATAAAAAGACACTGAATAGTAGTTACCTAACCACAGTTCCAAAGAGTTTTCCCAGTGTGTCTGGCGGTGCTTCAGCCTCCTGAAATCAGGTTCGGGAATATCACCCTCTGTCTGAGGACACACAGTACACATGCATGGTCTTGAGAAGCGCTCCTGTAAAGAAGCCTGTTTAGCCCAACATGGTCAAGCTCACAACTCAGCTTTTTCCAAATACTCCACTAACCCTCTCCAGAGCAGCAGGAGCGGGCAGCAGCAGAGGGCAGTGGACCAAAGACAGAACCATTGTGTAGTATATAGTTTCATCATTTCCTCACATGCCAGCAAGAGCAAGGAGTCCTGCTCATTTGCTGCAGTGTTACTTAAGAAGGCAAGTAAGTCAATCTGGGTGAACACTTAGCTTCTGTTGTGGGTAGGAACCACAGGATCCAAAGAAATGATGAGAGTGCTTATTTAGACGAGAGCTGTTACATGTTGGGGCAGTGCTGGAAACCTTACTCACCTGATCACATTAACCGGCACAGCCATAAGCCTCCTCTCTGGCTGTCCTTGTCCACCCCATCCTGTCAGAATGGCAGTCAGCCATCTTTTTAAATTGCATTTGCTTCCCTTGCATAAAATGCCAGGCTTTACCTGGCCTCATCTTGTGCCATCCTCCAGGTTCCTCCCTGTATTCAGGCTATAGTACCTCCCTCCTGTTTGTCACTGCAGGGTTACTGTGCCCACTTAAGACAAGCTAACTCCTAACCCGTTCAGCCAGGAACTGTGTTCCCACCAGCAGCTCCATCCTACTCCTGAACCCTCCGCTCAGGCATTGCTACCCTCCAGGGTACCTCTCCCTCTCCTACTCTGCCATTTTTCAGAACATTTTGCCATCTGAAGCCATCCTGTTCAATCTTGAGCCTGGCCCCTCCCATTACTGAGTTCCTTGACATTAGACTTCTCTGTGGGAGACCATCTATATTGAAGTTGATAAAAAATATTAGGTACAGCTGCCCAAATCACTTTACAAACTACCTAAAGAACTGTGAGAGTGCTAACTGGTCTTCCAAACCCTTGCCCTGGTCTTCTTGCATTGGGCAGCTTCTGTCAAAAGATCTGTTTACGTTAAGCAGTTAAGAGACACATGCTCTAGGTTAGGCCAGGTAGTTTTCAGCTTGTTTGCAACACACACTGAAAAAAAAAAGCTAAAAACTGCAGAGAAGAAAGAAAAACACTGCCAGGGAATCTGGAAGATAGGAAGGGGGGACAAGTCTTCCACTGTCACCCCCCATGCCCACCACCAAAGCCCATTGCAGGTACTCCTTTCATTTCAATGGAGACAAAGTATCAACGTCCACTGGAGCTTTTAAAAGGCTCTCAAGGACCCACAGTTCCCCAGTGGGTGTTACGCAAACACACAATACAAACTGGCCAAGGGCACAAGGGCGGCATCACACCGATATTACACTGCTGGCTTTCTTCCTATCACCTGAGTTCTTTAAGGAGCTCTGAGGTCCTGGGAAAACTGGCAATCTGTGTCACTGAGGACTTCTGAATTCCACTGTGAAGTCTGGCACAGAAAATCACCTGAACTCTTCACTGAATAGACAATGTCAGTATCTTCACCGTGATTATACATCAAGAATATTTTAGAGATAAGCTATTGTATATAGCCAAGTTCCGACACTTAAGAACAGATGTGAAGTACAGAGGAGGCAGGTTAATTCTTAACACCAGAACTTCTTCCATTCTCAACACATTGTTAATTCTAGTTTTACCATTTAATATTCACAAAATAAAGGTTCCACTAGATTTTATTCCAAAACATATGCAAATATTCTGAGCTTTACCAAGTTCTTATGTCAATCATGAGAACAAACAAGTAAAATGATCATCCCCACTTCAAGACTTTCTCTAACATACCTGCTATTTAAGTCAAATTAAGCATGCTTTCAGGGCAATCAGTTCAGAATTAAACCACTATTTTTAGACGCAGATGTAAATGCTTCTTGAGAAATACCTGAGGAGAGGTACCTCTGCCTTGTGGCACTTACACAAACAGAATTTAGCATCACTGGGCATTCTGCAGATCTTTCTGGAGAAAACACATTCTTCGGATATGTTCTGTACATAACATAAAACATATAAGCTACACATTCATGTCCTTTTGAAATTTACAGGCCTTAGGTTCAGGTTACCTAAATATTATGGCAATTAGAAAAGACAGCTCCTTGTTAATAGAACTATTTCTGGTACCTAATACCTTACTACACTCCGGGAGAGGCTTGGGAAGCCTACGCCAGCCTTTATTAGAAAGTTAGCACAGCAAACTTGAGGAAAAGCAGTTTTCTGAACACTTTAATAAACTGCTTATGCCCAGTAGCTTCCGCACTACTGTAAAATATGCTGAAACAAAACAAAAAAAAATCAACTAATACCACTTCTCATAATGGGAATAGTCAGCTGCTCAGGAAGTCAATCTGTAGTGAGGTGCTTACTCAGTGTGGAGTTTCAGCTGTATAAGCCACATGATGTTTTTAATCATTTAGGCTCCTCCAAATTCATGTTTTACAGCTCTGAGAACTCCAAAGGAGCTTTGCCAAAGTCCTGAGGACATTACCACAAAGCTGCTATTTCTGAATAGGATTTAAAGTGTAATTTCCTTTTCAAATTCATATAGTTAAAGGTCTAGTCTAAAAGTAGTTTTAGGGCACATTTCTTCTTGCACAATCTGAAGCTATAGATTCCAACTTGCAAATACATAAAAATACAAGTGTGGTCATGTCCAATTGGCCCACCTCCATTTTCTTAGAGGATTTTGTTCTGTTAATTTGTGTAGACTTAAACAAAAAACCAAAACTTTGAACTTGAACACCTCCAGGCTCACTCCACACACCATATTTCAGCTACTCATGGTCAGCTTCTCCTTTCAGAAATCTTGCCTAAAACTCCACGACAGTAAATGATAACTGACAAAAGATATTTTACTTTATATTGTTGTTTTGAGACAGGGTCTTACCATGTAACTCTGGCTGGCCTGGAACTGTGTAGACCAGACGGGCTTCACAGAGATCCACCTGCCCCTTGCCTCCAAACTGGGACTAAAGGCATGAGCCACCATATCTGGCATTCACAATAATGTTATCCTGGGTTAACAGATTATCAAGTGGTCGATGTGTGATCACAGAGGTTAAGAAATGTTAACTGGATGTAGTGATCTGAGTGTTTTGAACTTTGTTTTTACTTCAGACAGGCACTCGCTTCCACCATCAGATCCCAGGAATGCTGAATGTTTATCTACCCCACTAAAACAGCCCTATGCCGGCAGTGCACGTGTGGCTGCATCATTAGCTCCCAGGTGAGAAGAATTACAGCAACACACATCCTGATTCTACAGCCCAGGCTCTTCCTCCTCCTCTACTACTGTATGTCATGCCACACAAGGTTTCAAAGCTTTAAAAGGAGGTTCTTTATTCTAAGACAATTTGATAGCACTCTGTTACCTAAGATGAAAAAAACAACATTCAAAAACAAAACCAGCAAATTATTTTTCCCCCTCTTCGTAGAGAAATGAGTGTCAAAGCAAGCACTAAGCTTAGCAAGCACTGGAAAGTTCCATTCCTTTCCACGAGCCAATAAATGGAACCAAAAAAGCATCTGGGCATGGTCATTAATATTAATCCATTGCAGTTTCAAAAAGTTTGCTTCCTAAGTACATTTAGTGTGCCAGGCTGTGACGTGCTGGTGTGAAATTACATCAGACAAACCAATAGAGAGACCACGGAGCACACCATGTTGTACAAATGGTAAAGAATTTTAATTAAATGTTTTATATTTCACTTTCTAGATTAGTCAAACAGCAACAAAGCAGAATGTGGCTGAAAGGGGCAGGGCAGAGGGGAACTCGGTGGGTACAGAGTTTCAGTTTTGCAATGAAAGAATAATATGGGTTGGCTACACAACAATGCGAATATACCTAACACCAGCAAACTGTACAGATAAAAATGCATTGTCAAGGGCACTGTATAACTAAAAGTAAACAAACTTGAAAAAGGAACCAGTGAGTTTTTAGTGTGATGATACCATGTTGGGTTTTAAATCAAAACAGATACACTAACTAACAAGCTGAGATACACAGGTTAGTGGATAGGTGGCCACTATTGTATGCTGGAGGCTGTCAGTGAAATAAACACAACAGAACTTTCTTAACAGAAAGAATAAGGGTATGAAATTTCCTAGTTAGTAGGGAGTCAGCTATCATGAAACTATGCAAAAGAGTGTAAGAGCTGAAAACGTCCCGGTTCTGAAGCCACCATGGGTAGACGCAGCTCTGCACATCTGCTGAAAGCCAGATTATCCTATAGGGTTCCCGGAGAACACTGTATGCAGGAAATTACATGAACAGTCAAAATTTACTACGAAAACAATGCATTTTATTTAAAAGAAGAAGAAGAAGCAACAGAAGTGAATTCCACTAGCTTTGTTTCGATTAATCTGTACGTCTCATCTGGAAAGCAGCCCTACTGGCATTGCATGGAGTCTGTCCCACTCAGGATACTTCAGCTGAGCCACTTCCAACTATGTCATTCCAATTCTAAAAATCTGTCTTTTCTGCTAGTTCAAATTACCAGACACACAACATACAAGACCCTGAAGTTAGAATAAAACACCAACATTCTAAGCACGATTACATATGAAAGTGAGTGAGGACATGTTACCTACAAAACTATAAAACAACCAGTTACACATGCAATCCATTTACATCGGAGCTCCGTGAGGTGGTACTGAATAAACAGAGGCATTGAAATTTAACAACAGAACAGCTCACTTGGAACAGCAGCACATTCCCACCTCTTCCTCTATCATTACACTTCCCTGGGATTTATATTCACGTATTAGTCAAATCTTAGCAAGCTGATAACAAAAAACAAGAAAAAGCTGAAAAGATAATAAACACTTCCTAAAATCTACATGCATGTGAAATGTGAAAACACCATTTTGTTAATGTGAGTTTTTAATCACAAGACCCTTTCAACTTACTCACAAATATCTGCATTGAATTCTTTGCAGTTAGGTCTGCCCACTAAAAATCAGAAGGGAAATAAACAAAAAGTTTATTTTTAAAACACATTGTTTTAGAAAAATATTGTGAGCCAAATGAAAGAATCCTTTGGGATCACAGCTTAAAAAAAAAAAAAACCAACAACTTTCTCTACTAAAGAAACCTAGTGTGGTCATCAGAATAGGCTTCCACTCTGGCAACAAAGGCTTATCTGTCCTCATTTTTAACCATAATAAACTATTATCATACTCCATGTAATTTTTCAGAACTTATACCACCATCATGGCAAGTGTATAGGGTATTTCTAATAAACCTACATTTGATCATGAAGGAAATTTCTTTAAAGTGTTTTCAAGTACTCAAAAATATTAAAGAATGAGATTCCCTCCAACACTCTAACTGGAATACAATCCTCAGGTTAAGCCCACAGGAATGGTCTGCAATAAAGAAAATTAGGTCAGCATAGAGCAATTTCTGCAAAATTTAGCAAAAAAGCCAAAAATATTATAAGCCAAATAAAAGAATCCTTTGGGATCAGGGCTTTCTGTCTCCCCTAGTTCTTTAATATCCAACTGGCTACAGTCAGAAACCCCCACATGCTGACTCTCAGCAATACAGAAATGCAATGCCAAAGAAAACCACCAACACAACCCTTTTAGGTCACTCTTTGGTAAGAAATGGACCAACATGTTACTTTCCACCCGTGTTTGGAGAAAAGTCAAACAGCATGGTCTTGGTAAGGGACCCTGGGCTAGGGCCTTTGTAAGGATGGACAACAAGAGGGTTTCCTCGAACATGTAACTTAGTAGTTACACAGCTGGAACCACTTTCCTATAACTCTCAGATCCTTTATGTGGTCTTTAGATATGAAAACTAAGCTATTAGAAAAAAACAAAAACAAAAACGTGCAGAACAGCTTCCTTCTTGTAAGAAACGCACCAGTTCCTAATCCTATGACACTTACAGGGAATGTGTTTTTGAAACAGGATCTCAGTCTATTGCCCAAGCAGGTCTCAACTCTTGAGCTTACGGTCATCGGACCTCTACGCTGGCATAACAGGTATGTATCACCTGCATCCACTGTGAATCTTAGCAGCTTATTCTAGATGTTTCCTCATAAAGTAAAATTGGAAATAACCCAGTTAATGCTATTTACAATTCAAAAGAAATCAAAATTCAACACAACCTAATATATACATTAAAGAACTCCAGATTAAGATAATTTCCCACGTACCCAAAGCCACGTCGATCTGTTGCAAGATTTAACTATAATAGCTACATATGGACCCATTGCAGCAGTAGAAAACACTACAAATAAACACCCCAAACCAAGCTAAGGTTTTGTACTCAAGACAGAAAAGTAACTAGCCCTAACTTGCATTAAAAAAAGAAAACTTACTTTCTGGCCAATTATTTCTTGGCCTATCCAAAGATCCAGAGAATGAGGAATGCTACAACTACCAGTAATTCAACACTATTTTTCTGAAAAGAAAGATGATATAAAATGCCATTCTCCCAGACAATGAACACGGGAGAAAAATGTGATTCTTTCGTAAGTTATATTTATATAGATCTTTAAGTATCAGCACCAAATGTTCACATAAATTATCCTAAGCAACTTTACTGAATTAGCATTTCCTAATAAAGTAGGTAAACAAAGGACTGAACACTATGTTCATGCTAAGAGCCACTATGTCAAACTGTATGACCAGCTCATTTCTAAAGCTGCTGTAGATGTGCTAGGTGAGGAAAACATGCCTTATTGAAGCTGATGTGACTGCTCCCCACATCACGGGGTCAGGACGCTGTATTTTGGTATTAGGAAAGATTAAGTAAACAAGGTGAAAGGATTTCAAAAAGTAAGTTAAATCCAAACAATCCATTGTTAGAGGAAAACAAACAACTAACTACATAAGTACCTAAATGAAAAACTGAAAGCAAGATTGACAAACAACAGTGTCAGTCCGAGACTATGTAACCCTTTATTACATTATATTCACTGTGGTATTTTGGTCAACATTTACAAGTTTTCCTATTTCTCCCTAAACTACAGAAAGTTCTTTCCTGTTTATAACAATATTCAACTCTGCAAATGGTTTAAGTCAACTTTTTGCATCTTGAATTTACAAACCACGGGTGTTAAAATGGCCTGAAAACCATTTAATTTTCAATTTTTATTTAAAGCTGTACTTCAAACCAAATCCTTCAAAACAGAAAAGCTGTTTCAAACAAATTTGTACAAATATCATGATACCAATATTTTAAAGATAACCTACAGACAATTATAAAAAAGGCAACTATTATACAAAAGAATTCTATGGCAAATCGTTTTTATAAAATCTTTTATAAATAAACTTGTTTCATGGTAGAAGATAAAAATTAAATTTACCCTAAAAATACGTAATTGCTCAGAAGATGGATTGAGTGCTTTGAAATCATGTTGCTTCTTTGAAAAAGAACTTTTAACTGGGCATTACAGTACAAAGACCACTTCATACCCACTCACTTATGCCTTCTGATATCTGGGTATGGAAACCTTTTATGGGGTATCCCTGACTTTGGGTAGTCATTTTAGTAAACATTGGAGCTTGTAAAGTGCACTAGGTATAAGAAACAGCAACAGTGCCAAATTCATTTAGTAGGTCTTTAAGGGACTTGGTGTCACCAATTGGGCAAAAAAACAACATTATTGTTTTCTGTTCAGATTTTATTTGAAATCTAATTCAAATTGTCAAAGCTACAAAAGAGGGGAAGACATCTGTATTATGTGTCTAAGTCACAACATCCTAAAACAAAATACTACTACTGCCAGCAGATCCATTGTACACATTTTTGATGAAATTCATTAGCACAATAAAAATTTCATCTTGAGAAACAGCCACAACAAAAGTAATTTATACAATATAAAACAATGACAGGTCTACAGATGCAGTTACTCATGAGTTTACACATGCATTCACAAACAAACAAACAAACAAACAAACAAAAACCCAGGAATGCTCTTTCATTAGAATTCTGTTTTTGTGTGTGTGTGGTTTTTTTTTTTTTATTAAAAAACAAAACAAAACAGAAAAAAACAAACAGACCATTCAGGCACAAAACAAACTTGCATTTCCAATAAGTGACAGCATCTTAAAAATATATGTCAGTGTTTGTTTTTCTTTGACTTTTTATGAGACCTGTGAGGAGACCGGGACTGGGATCTGGATTTCTTCCCTGATTTCTTAGGCGACCTAGACCTAGACCGCCTAGACCTTTTAGGCGTCCTTGAACCCGATGGCGACCTGAAGAAATAAACAGGAACAATGTCTAAGTACTTGGCTACCAAAACTGCTTACACTCTTACCTGGCTTAAAATGAGGTTCACGTGGGCATAGAAGTCACTAATAAAACAGCAAATTCGAATTTACTCTTTACTGTGTACCCACAGAGATTTATTTTGTACTTACCTTTCCTGTGTGATCAGAAAAGTATTTGTTTAAAGAGATTTCTGAGTTTTACTACTGCTATACAGAGAGTGTACATCTTTAGTTCCCCAGGTAACTGATACCCCCAAAATTTGAACCTGTAAACCTCAAGATGAAGTTCAAGGTGACAACTAAACAGTCACACAATTTTAAAAGCACAGAAGCTGTGCACTCTGTAACTTTGAGGGGAAAAAACTCCTACTCAAGGTCATCATTTAAAACAACACAATTTGTTGTTTGAGTCAGTGTAACACAATTTGTTGTTTTTGAGACAGGGTCTAACTGTGTAGGCCTAGCTGGCCTCTGCCTCCCAGGTAGCAGGATTAATGTCATCTGCCACCCCATTTGGCACCAGTAATTTTGCTAAGTTCTGTTCATGAAGATTTCCCAAGCAAAAAACTACACATACATATACACCTGCACACATGAGTACGTATGGTCTTAAACAGAAGAAAGACTCCACAGCAGATGGTTACAATCATGAAGTATCAGCACATAAATTCAAGTGCAGCTCAAGAAAATTTCCCTGTGACATCAAATACATTTATGAACTGCTTTTGTGGAATTAAAAGGCTTAAATAAAACAAAATATGAAAGAGATAATCCAAATAGTAATCTATCTCCTTAGTCACACTTACTTCTGTGGGGGGGGGGGGGGATATTGTTGCTTTCCTTCAACTTTGACAAAATCTAAGGCTATTTATTATAATGAAATAAAGATCAGAATGAAAAGGAGCACCCCATTCCCAACAATGGACATGTGAAAATCCTTGATCAGTCTTTTAACTTGCTGGAATTATTCTATAGTTGAAACATGGCAAAAACTGGAATAGGAATGAGAGACAACCCAAAATAAAAGTACATTTCTCTGTTTTTCTGAAATCTTTAAAAAAAAAAAAAAGCCAACCACATTACTTCCAAAGCTTGTAGACACTTAGTTAACTGGTGGCTGAACTATATATAACAAAGGGTGATGCGTGTTTACCTTTTGGCTTTCTTGCTAGCATCTCTAGGAGAATCTTTGTGAGATGACCTGGACCGTGAGCTTTCTTTATGAGATCTTTCTGACCGTTCTGATCGTTCTGATTTTGGTGATGGGGATTTTACTCGCCTACCAGTGCTACTCCGAGATGGGCTGGGAGAAGTACTGTGTCGCCTTTTCCTACAAAACAAACCATATAAAACTTTGTAAGTGACAAAAAAAGCTTACGTATTCATTTTAAATGTTTACTGAATTAGCTCCTAATCACTCCTAGTTTACACTAACTTAACTCTCACTATCCATACTAAAGCTACTTTCCAACAACATTCAATGTCCCTTATTTCATGAACAAGTAAATCTTAAGACAGCATGCCCAAAAAACAAGTGAATTCAATGAAATACAACTGTCTTTTGCTGTAAGAGAGTACTAGGAAGACAAAGAAAACCTGACATTCTGAATTGGATAATTGGTTTATTTTTTTTTCAATGCTAACTTCTTTTTGTATTATTTTTTCTTTTTTTTAAAAAAACTTTTTTTTAAGATTTATTACATATACAATGTTCTGCCTACATTCCAGAAAAGGGTACCAGATTGAATTGTAGATGGTTGTGAGCCACCATATGGTTGCTGGGAATTGAACTCAGGACCTCTGCAAGAGCAGCCAGTGCTCTTAACCTCTGAGCCATTTCTCCAGCCCTATTATTTTTTTCTTTTGGTTTTTACAGACAGGGTTTCTCTGTAGCTTTGGAGGCTGTCCTGGAACTCGCTCAGGAGACCAGGCTGGCCTTGAACTCACAGAGATTCGGCTGCCTCTGCTAACTTCTTAGTGTGGCACTTTTACTCAAGTTAAATGAATTCGATTCAGGAAGCTGGGCTCTGTTCTGACCAATTATAATGAACTGGCTGGAGGTGAAATAGAAAGGAAAGAACTAAAAAGAGAAATAGAAGCATTTTAGTAGGTGGAGCAATTGGGTGAAAAGTACATGGGGACTGTAACTTCTATAAAACTGAAATTATATCAAAATAATAAAAGACAAAAGTGCCACTTCTTTGTTAACAAATCTGTATAACTTTGCTATTTATAAATATACACAGAGTGATTAAGCCAGTTTTCTCATTTGCAACCACTTGGTGTTTATAATGTGGAAAACTTTGATTCTGTTCACTGAGGCAACTGCTTCACTACATTAGACATTTACAAACTATAAAGCAAGAAACACAGTTCAATGAGGTGGCTCAGCAAGTAAGAACACTTCACCTGATTTTGATCCTTTGGAGTCTACACAGCAGAAAGAGAGAACCAAGTCTCATAATTGCCTTCTGACCTCCACAAGAGCATGAAAGTAGGTACATACCCTCACACAAAATAACACACACACTAACTAAAAACATAAAAGCTAAAAATATAAATGTAAAACTCCTAAGTTGGGACAAAGGACTTCACATGATGAGCAAGTCACTGCAGCTTGTACACACATTCTCCTTCAAGGCAGAAAAGGATGCTTACAGGCAGACATAACAAGTTGTTATTTAAGACGTGGAGTTGACACTCAATAGTGTAATTGAATTCCTGCAGTGCATTAAGGCTAAGAATACCATATGAACCCAAGTAAAAAGATGATGTCCTAATTAGTTAAGCCAAGTGGCAACTAACCGCTCCTCTCAGCAAACTCTGCCTCCTATAGACAGAAGTCAAACATGTTATTGTGAAATCCACTTCTGGCTTATTGCTAAGGATGATAGAAACAGTTTAAAACCAAACAACACTTCAAATCTTGAAACAAAGTAGATTAACCATGACATGTCAGTCAGGCACTGGCAGCACATGCCTTTAATTGCAGCACTCAGGAGACAGGCAGGAGGATCACTGTGAGTTTGAGGCCAGCCTGGTCTACAGAGCAAGTGCCAGGATAGGCTCCAAAGCAATACAGAGAAACCCCGTCTTGAAAAACCAAAACCAAAACCAAAACCAAAAAAACCTATGCCATACCTTTCTTTTCTTGTTGGAGTACATTCATCTTTCTCCTTCTTGTCTTTGGATCGGGACTCCAATTTTTCTTTATCTTTTTTGTCTCTTTCTCGTTCTCTTTCTAATTCTTTCTCCTTTTCCTGTTTTGTTTTTTAAAAGAAAATATTTAGTTGCTTTTTAAAAATGTCATCTAGGATATCTTATGTATCTAACCACATTTTCTCTTTTAGGAATTTTTAAAATACTAAATAAGGTATGATATTGTTTTCAAAAAAACACCCTTTCAGGCAACTAGCCATTTTTTATATACGAAATTATCATCTTCCTCCTTGTGCAGCAGCAAAATATTTACTGAGTGCTGCTTATCACAGCCCAAAGAAGACAGTTACAATTTTCCACATACCATGTTACCCTGTGATCCTTTACAACATTATCACTCTCAAAGTTTACGCAAATGACCATAGTCATACCAGAGAAAACCAGGATTCAGTCTAAGAGCTCCTATCCCTTCACCACTACCACATCAAAACAGGGAGGGGAGGGAGGGAGGGAGGAAGGAAGGAAGGAGGGGCAGGGAATTTGAATCAGGAAAAGCTAGCAAGCAACACACTAACCTTCATCAGATTGCAAGAACCTAGTTATAAAAGCAGTTCTGCCTGTACATAGCAGGTTCACTTAACAAAGTTCTTACCAAAGATTTTATTGTAAGTAATTATAAAAGGAGATGTAATCCTAACTTATAAACTGATTATATAATAATATATTTATATAAACCATAAAAATAACTGTTTGTTTATCCCTGGCTGTCCTAACAAACATTTTTCAATAAAATTCTAATTTCTAGGGGGCTGGAGAGATGGTTCGGTGCTTAAGAGCACTGGCTGCTCTTCCAGAGGTCCTGAGCTCAATTCCCAGCAACCACATGGTGACTCACAACCATCCATAATGAGATATGGTGCCCTCTTTAGGCATGCAGGCAGAACTCTCTCTCTCTCTCTCTCTCTCTCTCTCTCTCTCTCTCTCTCTCTATATATATATATATATATATATATATATATATATATATATATATATATATATATCTTTTAAAAAAATTCTAATTTCTATTAATGGTAGAATAATTAAAGTAGTGGCTAAAGACACCGAATCAACTTAGTTCTTTAACAACAGAAATGGAATTTATTTGTGATTGATATGCATCAAAAATGTTATCTAACTGCTGCTTCTCATTTTTAAAAAGTGAGAAAATCTTGTAACTAGATACTGGCAAACTTTTTTAACAGAGCCAGACCAAAAACACTTTGTCTTGTGAGCTATATACAATCCTTTTAACAACTACTCAACTGCATCATCACAACAAGAAAACCACATAGATAACACCTAGGTGAAGAGGCATAGTTGTGTTCTAGTAAACTTTATTTACAAAGATCATAGTTAGCTGACCTTCAGCATGTGCCTGTTAGAAACACAATCTTGTCTCTAATTAACACTCATGGAATATAGGAGACTAAACTAGTAACTAACCTATTTTTTAGTTTGTTGTCACTGAGATGCAGGGAGCATTTCAACATGTAATCTTCCACAAACACTACTAACCTGATACCATTGCCAAAGGCACTCAAAGGGTACAGACAACTAGTACCATTTAAAATAATCTAATTTATCTTTTTCTCAAATACATCACAGAATATAAATATAAAGAGAGGTACAAAGGAGACCAACTTCTCTTAACGATGTGTAATATACACTTTCCTGAAAGATAAAAAATTATTTATTGACTGACTATACATTTTATAGAAACTATACTACAATTTTAAACATTCTGATTCAATACCACAGAACAATAGCAATCCTAACTATGATTATTAGATAAAACTCTAATGGTACACAACAGAGAATGGTATAGGATTCCATAGGCTAGCACAACTAGCTATACAGTCGCTTTACTAGGCAGCTGCCTGACACTAATTCTGTACCTGTAAGCTCCTGGGCATTACTATCACTGTAATGACGGCCAAGGTACCGGATAAAATAGTAATTGCAATGGAAGTCCTGAGCATCCCCACAATCACCATATGGGTCCTAGTTCCGGTGCTCTGCACTTTCCTACATTGTACCCAAGCCCTGCACTCCTTGATGCAGTAAGTATTCTACCTCTTACCACCTTCCCAAGAGCAGTACTTCTCAAACCCCATCTCCATCTTCATCTTCATTCATGTTACTTCCTAGGATTACTGGTTTCTTACTATCATCAATGTAATGTCTTCCCATAAGGTTTTCCAGTTCTGAAAGCATATTCTTAGCAAGACTGTCTAGTCCATGGGCAGTACCCAGAATAAAATATATCTAATCATCATCCAATATTTATACATTAAAGACTACTGTTTGCAATGCACTTCCTTTTAGGCTGCTATTACCCTAACTGTGGAAATGCTATTACTGAATAAACATATTCCTTACTCGCTGTAGCAGTTTATCTCTGTAGTGTTCGACTTGTTCCTGGAAGCTTTGGCCTGGTTTTTTAGGTCTCTTTCCAGATTCCAATTCATCTTGAAACTTCATAACTTTGAGCTGTGAAATAAGACATTTCTAATATGAATCGACTATCACAGTTTCTCAAGCATTTCTTTTCTCCTACATCAAAGCAGTGACTGGTTAGGACTTGGTCAAAATATAACCACAACAGAAAGTCTGTCAGACAAACCCACCACACAAAATTCAAGCTATCAAACACCAACACACATGTTCTCAGGCAGGAAAAGACTAAAACCATAGACTGTTTTACATACTTAAGAACATACTTGTTCACCTAACAATAACAGTGTATTTGGTATCTAGTTCACCAAATCAAAAGGAAAAAGTGAATACAAGCAAGCATACTTGGAGCAAGATTCAACAGTCAGCAGGATATAAACAGAAAATAGATTTTAACCTACTTTTAAGAACAATGGTGGTGTTCCAGTTACAGTTCCTTAGAACAAAATACATAGCTGCATCCACTCTATTTACAGCAGCATAACCACTGACCATCAAAATAGTAAATCATATTCAGATGTACACCTTTTAAGACAGAGTAAATACTGACTTAAAAAAGAACAGAAAGAATTCCTTGTTCCAATTCTTAAAATGAATCCCTTAGAATGCCCTAAGCTATTTATATGATGAATATTCCCTGTAGCATGATAGTAGGCCACTTACATATTCATCCTAAGATTTCTGGCTAATTATATGCAAAAAAACACAGATTCAGACAAACCTGCAATCATCAAAAATCTGAAAGCCAGTACCTATCCCTACAATTCCCCTCAAAAACAAAAACAACCATGTAAAATCTGTAACAGAAAAAGAAAATATAAGAAAAAGGGAAACTAATTTCACATTTTACTCTGGAAATTTAAATATTTTGACCATCCCCTAGTCCTGGAGAAGATGTCTTACAATGTATCCCAGGCTGGCCTCAAACTCACGAGGTCAGGTCATCAGGCCATGGTCTCCCAGGGCCTGATGACCTGTTTGATCCCAAGGACCACACAGTGGAAGGAGAATACACAACTGTTTTGACTTCCATTTGACTGTTGTGATATGCACATGTGACAATATACAAAATAAATTTAATTTTTAAAATTTTTGAAGAGAGTAAATTGACAATATATTTTAAACTAGGGTTGGAATGATGGCTCAGAAGATAAAATGTCATTTAAGCCTGACAACTTGAGCTCAACCCTCAGAACCCCTATGTAAAATACTGATGTGGTGACCTGGTGACCTGGATGTGTAATGCTAACACTTCTAGCACTACATGAGGCAGACCTGAGAATCACTGGGAAGTCCACAACTCATTTATCCTGGAGTATACAGAATGGCAGAAGTAATAAGACCCTGCTTCAGCAAGGTATTAGAGAACCGGCCCCTGGAACTTGTCCTCTGACTTCCTCACAACACACCTGCTTCTCCTCTAACCACCACACCCTCTATTCTCCCCTCTCCCCTCTCTCCTCTCCCTTCTCCCCCCCCCCCAACCCGGCTTTCTTCTTTCTTTTTCGTTTCAGACAATCTGCCCAGACTGTTCTTGGTCTCTCTAAGTAGCTCCGCTAAGTCTCAAACTTATACTTTTCCTGCCCCAGGCTCCCAAGCATCTGAGGTTGCAAGCATGAGCCACCAAGCATATTTTATTTACACTCTTAGTAACTTTGTCAAGGTAGGAAGGGCTTCTCAGGTAGACAGACAGTTTAGGGAGTTACAAAAGGATTCACAGGATGAGAAAAGTCCAACAGTGAGTGTGTTCACCGCTATACAACACCCATTCCCCTAAAACTGTTAGGGAACAAAAGTGTGTACTATAGGGAAAATGAATTAACTAACTTAAAGCTTCTTATCTCTGCTTACAAACTGGAACTGTGATGAATCTGCACAGGGCTAAAACAAAATGCTTTCTTTCTTTGGTTTGGTGATGCTGGGGAAAGAGGTGGTGAGAAAGAGTATGCCTACTAGTGATTATGTAGAGAGGCAGAAAGGAGACGGCACAAAGCAGGCATTCAATGCTACTATTAAATGGGTACTATGGACTGAGGACTCTCACACATTCTTTTCAAGTCCTAGACATACTTGAACTAAGAGGCTATGTTAACTCCTATGGAGGTTTTCAAGCAGAGACAATGTGATACCAAGAGGAAGTTAATTTGATGTTGAATGTTAAAAGGCCACTAACCTAGTTTTAATTTTAATGCAATACAAACCTCAATTTCACGAAGCTTAGCTCGTTTTTCTTCACTCATTTCAGAGTACTTAGAGAACTTCGACTCAGTCATTTCTTCTCTGACTGGGTTAGAATACAAATGATGTTCTTCTGATTTGGAACTCTGAGTGTCTTCTTCATCTTCACTTTCTTCTTCTTGACTTTGGAAACAGAGAATACACTGCATGTCACAGTAGGGAAAACAAAATATTGTATTTTACAGTTTGTGTATTTGTTTCTCATTGTCTTGGAACTTAAATGATACTCTGGAATATCTAAAACTTTACCTGCAAATATTTGGTCAAATAATATTTTAGATAGTTCTAAAAAAATGTTTCCTTCTACAGAAAAAGTTGAGTTTCAATATAATAATATAACCATGCTTTTAATAAATTCTGTCTGTATTAACAGTATCAGTGTGCTTTTCATTCACTGTCACAAAAGGAAATAAAAGGAATAACCAATGAGCGTTGCATATTTCTCAGTTCAGTGAAGGTTTGTATTTAAAAAGCCAATGTTTACCCCTCCTTTTGCAGAGGCTATCATCTGGAAAATAAATGAACTTGTCACACTCACCATAAAACTATCAATCCAACACACAGGAACTTATGAGATTAGCACATTATACTGAGTGAAGCACCATATAAAGTCTGAGTATTAGAAGACTTCAACTGTTGTGTCACAGCTAACCTTAACGCTAGCGCTTTATTCAGTTCTTGCTTGGTATGTTCATGAAGTCTGCGCTTTTTTAGATTTATTTTATTTTGCCTGAATGCATGTACGTGTATCGAGTGCATGCCTGTTGCCCATGGACATCATGAGAGGGTTTTGGAACCCCTGAAACTGAGTTAAGTAAGGATGGGTGTGAACCTCAATGCAGGTACTAGGAATCAAATCCTGATCCTCTTCAAAGGCAACAAGTGCAATTAACCTCTAAGCCAGAGTTTCCTGCTATACTTTTATGAAAAATGGAATTTCAAAATTTTAAATCTGTATCAAATTCATTACAAATGCTACCATTTTTTGGCATCTCTTTCTACCAGTTACAAGTACTGACTTTAAATTCCATCTCAGTGAAAATGCAACATTTTAGTATATGAAGCAGCCCTCAGCAAAAGGCATTTCTGATCCAGCCACTAGAGAGCAGCAGTGAACTGTAAAAAAAAAAATTCTGAAGGACCAGAAAGCTATGTGCAAATCAGCATCAATACTAAAACACACTCATACAATACAGTCACACAAAAATCATTTTTATGCCCCCCAAACCCAATGCTTTCAGAAAATGAACCTAACAATGTATCTGGAGCTCTCTGATAACTTTCTACCCTTCACTGTAAAGTAAAAATCATTTGATTAATACAGCGAATATTTATGCTAACATTGAGATGTTGCTAATGATAGAGTCATAAAACATAAAAAAGTCAATGAAAAGTTACAAAACAAACTAGCCTAAATCGTCCAACTCTAGTACTCTGCACTTCCAGAGAGCTATCGCCATAGTATCATCATTATCAACCTGCTCCAGTCACACCAACCTCACTGTCAGTTCCCTCATGCCATCAAACTGTCTACAAACTACTCAGTACACACTTCCTTGCAATCCATCAGTTGCACACAAATGCATACAAGGGCATACAAATGACATTCTGAGCTGCAACAACAAAAGTGCTTCCCCATTTTTCTTCTTCCATCTAAGAACAAAAGACTATAGTTTTGACAAAACAAAAACTATTCCCAGAATTATCTGTAAAAATATTCACAGCAATGACTTTCAAAGGCAAAAAATAATTCTATAATGACGACAAATGAGAAAACTATCAAAATCATAATTTCTTTATACTCACGAAGCCCTCCCCCCCCATTCCTTTCCAGTTCTTCTGACATGTTTACATTTAAAATAACAAAGCAGTACTTAGTGATGGACTATCCAAAAGGAAAGGAGTATAATCTTCCCACTTAACATTTTAAGAAATCACTTTTTTGTGAATCTAAAACAATGTTTGATGACAAAGATTTGGAACAAATACAACTGATAAAATAGTAGCTACAAGACAGAAATGTATAGCCTCAGGTAGAAAATCCAGCAAAGAACTGACACCAAAGCTCTTCACTGAAAAAAAATGATGGAGACTAAACATGACTCTCCCACAACGATCTGAAGGTGAAGTCATCCTCTTCACTATTATTTCAACCGCACCTGCCAGTAAAAAAGGGAGTGTATATGTGTAGGGAACTTGAATGTGTAAAACTTAAGGTTCTTACTTTTGGTTTTCTTCTTCTTCTGATTCTTCATGCTGGTCAAACAGCTCCCACTTAGAAGTTGTTACAGCTGCAGAGGGAAAGGTAAATTAGGATTTTTGCTACAGCACAGTAGAAGCCCAACTTTAGAGCTAAAATTTGTATTACAGAAGCTTTTATCTTAAGCTTATGTCATCTTCATATTCTATACATCTTCTTTTCACATACCTATACTGTAACTATGCTGATTCAGGAATGATTAAAAACAGTGCCACATTTATTTCTATGGTAAATGGAAAGATTTATTTTATCAGACAAACAAATATTAACAGATACGCATCCAAGTTAAGTGTAAAAAGAAAGGCAAATGTAAACTGGATCTAATAAACGTTGTAGAATTTTCAAATGGATGCTGTTTACCATCTACATTTTCTATTAAAACACCTTGTGACCTGAAAGGTTTTTCATGATTTCTCTGATTGTACTCTCAAAGTTCCAAACTGAAGGCTCTAAGACAATTATTACAGGAGCACCAACAATCAATAAATACTCATGATAGACCTATAACATGGAAGCACTGTGTCTGAACACTCAAAACGGAGGTTTTAAACACAAAGGAAACATACACATGCAAATACAAAGGCACCAACAATTATTATAAGAACTCAATTTTCTTCTCCCTCACCAAGTCTTGGGGATTCAACCCAGTGCCTTAACACATGCTAGGCAAGTACTATACCACTGAATGACACCACTATTCCAGTACACAACTGTTTAAAAGCTCAATGATTGTAATGTACTCACTCACCTTGTGCTTCCAATTCAGATTCATCTACAGCCTCCCATTTCGATGGTGCAACTTTAAAGATGGGTTCATTCTTCTTTGAGTCTTCAGTTGCATCCACTATTGAAGAAAAGATGAGCTATTAAATATATTAGGGGATGACTCAAACTAATGGGCTTATCAAAAAGCTAATAAAAAGCCCACATGTAGAAAAACATTGACAGTATCAAGAACAACAATTATAATGAACTCACTTTTTTGCTTCAGACACTATTTTTAAGCAATACAAAGTAATCCCTCTTTAATCCATAGAGTCCACATCCCAAGACCTCTAGTCATGGCTCTGAACCACTCTCAATTATATGCTTACTATGTTTCTTATCCACATGTACTTATAAATAAGGCACAGTAAAAAAGTAGTAAAAACAATCATGAAAAAGAATAATTGCTAGAATGTACTCTGAAATCTAAAATTTGTGAATTCCTTTGAACTTTCCATTTAATATTTGCAAACCAAAGTTGGCGGCAGGTAATTTTAAGCATGAACAGCAAGGCAGAAAATGGACAAAGAACTACTGCATAGAAAATTCAGGTAACACTTTAAGCATATGTAGGTGAGAGGGATAAAAATAGATAAATAAAAAATGCTAAATTATTTTCTAAACTACAACGTTCATACTTTACTCAATAGCTTAAAGTAATTTTAGTCAGGAAAACAAATAGGAGAACAGAATACACTGGGCATCTGACATTGCGACTATGAAACAAATACAAGACGTGGCCTATAGCTTTCAAACAGAAAAGAAAAACCTGCTATTATTATAGGAGAGTGACAGTCCCAAAAACAGAAAAATGACCACAATAAAGCCCTTTCTTTTGCCATAATCAAACATATTGCTAGATACTTGAGTTTTAAAATGTCAGAAAAGGTGACTTGACACACTCAAAAATTAAAACATTTCTCCAGAACATCCTGTGTAAAAACTAAAGCATTCTGGCAATTAAGTCTGTTTGTTAGTCCTAATGTTTGAAATCTGAACTTACAAGGCACTCCATCCAGATCATCATCAAGACTCTTTATAGGGACTCCATCCAGATCATCAATGGGAGTAGCATCAATGGGAATTCCATCCACATCTTCCAGAGGTGCACCATCGAGCTCTTCCTCGATGGGAGCACCATCAAGATCATCTGGCACATCCTACAGAAACATGCACCACTGTAATGTTTTCTTGATTTGCTTAACTCTCTCACTGTTAGATTAACTTAAAATCCAGTACAAATCAACATGACTGGAGATCCTTATTTCTAGACACAATGTAAACATATGCTTTATCGTCTAGCCTACTAAGGCAGCAATTAACTATACATTTATTTACCTAACATGTACTAAGTTCTTATTATTGGTGCCTGGTAGCATGTGACACAAGGATGAACAAAATCAGTTTTGGTTTTTCTATCAAAGAGCTTATAAGGTAAAGGTTTTTGTTGTTTAAAAAATATGTCAGAACAATAGATTAAATGGTACATCACCATCTTATTATACTATTTAATAATTAAATTTCACTTAAAAAGATTGAAGGTAAAGGTACCCTGAAGTTACAGTTAGGCTGAGATCAGGTAGGACACAAGGTCCAGAAAGAAGAATATGCACAAAGACCAATAGCAGGAGGAACACTACCCTGAAGAAGCTGAAACAAGAGTTTAAGAAGATGGCAAAAACAACAACAAAAAAGTAACTGTCTCCTCAATTGGTGAAGCAATGTCAGGAAAATCCATGAAGGAAGTGAAAACATTCTTGAAAGTAACAGAGCCAAAAAAGTGTGCAGCTGGAAGTGTAGTTCCTGGCTTCCAAAAACAACTTACTTCAACCTCACCAAAGGGTACTGAAACTGAGCCCTCAAAAGAAGGCTGCTCAATAATACTTTCTGCTACAAAACCTAAAAAAAGTACACCGAAACCTACAGATGCACGGGCTACAACACAACACCATGGAAAAGATGAAAGTCAAGAATCTCCCAAAGATCTTAAGTCCTTGACTAAGAAACTCAGATACTGATATAAGTCAGAAGAAACTTTGCAAAGTTTTTGTGTAAAAATAACAAATGATATAAATCAGAAATTAAAGGAGAGTCAGAGACAGGAAAATTGTTAACAAAGTTAGCAATATAGATTGAAAAAATTAAAAATATTAGAAACGAAAACCTCTATGAAACAAAATTTACAGTAGTAAGCCACAAGATGGTATGGCAAGTGAGTACTTGTACATACATAGGCTTAACAACCCGAGTTCAATCCTTGGACTAAGTAAGGTGAACTAAAGAGACTGACTAATATCAAGAATATTCTGGGCTCTCCTCATGAGCTGTGGCAAGTACATGCCTGCAATCCTGCAATCTCAGCACTCAGGAGGCAGAGGCAGACAGATGTCTGTGAGTTCAAGGTCAGCCTGGTCTACAAAGTTACACAGAGAACCATGTCTCAAGAGAAAAAAATGTTAAAAGGGAGGGTTGTTTTGTTTTTAGGTATGTGTGGGGGGAGCAGACTTCAGAGATAGCTCAATGCTCAACGTGAAGACCATTTGCTCTTGCAAGAAAATCTGGGTTCAATTCTTAGCACCCACATGGTGGCTCACAACTATCAGTAACTTCAGTACCAGAGGATCTGATCCTTTTGTCTGATCTCTGTGGGCACCAGGCATGCATGTGACACACATAAACACATGCAGGCAAAACACCCATGGACGTAAAATATCTAAAGCAAAACAAAACAGGAGGAAGCATCACCAATAGACTCCTAACCAGAACAGAGAATTTCAGGTATGGAGGACAAAGTGGATCAAATACTGCACTCAAATATCAATGAGGAAAACAAATGAATAAACAACCACCAATACCACAGACATCCGAGAACTTGGACATGGTCAAGAGCCCAAACCTAACCATCCCAGGAATATCAAACAAGTTTAGATAAGCACTAAAAGCACAAGAAATTAACAGATTCAATGAAATTTAGGAATGGAAAATTTCACAAATCCAGAATATATATATAGTTTTGTTTTTTTGAGACAGGGTTTCTCTGTGTAATTCTGCAACCTATCCTGGCACTCGCTCTGTAGCTCAGGCTGGTCTTGAACTCACAGAGATACATCTGCCTCTGCCTCCCGATTGCTGGGATTAAGGTGTGGGCCATCAACTCCCGGCTACAAATCCAGATTTTCTTTAAAACACAAAAGGTACTTAAAAATCCAACAGACCTGATACCAGATAAACCTCTCTGTGGTATACATGTTCAAGACATTAAAATACAAAGCAAAACAGCTGTAAGGCAAAATGTCAACTCACCCACAGAGGCAGAAGCATCAGAATTAATATATCTTTCAGCACTCCCAAAGCAGGAGAGCAGGGAATGATGTAACCAAGAGTGCTATACCCAGCAAAATTGCCTTTTAAATACTCAGAATTAAGAATATTTTAAGACAAGCATAACTAAGGCAGTTCACAAGCACCGTTAGCACCGCAAAAGACATTATACTATATAAGAAGAAGAAGAACCAGGAATGAAAGATTTTCAAGAGAGGACTGAATAAACAAAGAAAAGATAGGAGAGATTACATCATATCCAACCTGATAAACCAGCAAACCCTGATCCTAAGAGGGGAGAAACTCAAGAACGGGGGGGGAGAGGGGGAGAAATAATAACAATTAGGATTATAACAATTAAGAAACCTTTTTCAGCAATAACCTTAAACATGAATGACCTCAATTCACCAACAAAGAGAAACATGCATTATCACAAGTAATGAAGATAAACGATTTACAAAGCCATTTTAGAGGGAAAAAGCAAAAGAATAACGATGAAAACAATTTGGTACCATCATGCTACATCTTCCAAGTATATATTTACTTTTTAAGCTAACTTTAACAAAATGAAAGTTTTTGTTCCCAACTCTTGATGATTTGACTTACACTTTTTAAGAATTTACAATGATACAACACACATTCAGTAATAACTGTATTTCAAATTTTGATCTTAGGGTAGTGATATATAGTATGATGTTTTCATGATGTTAGGTACTTAGCTATGGGCACTAGTCAATCATCTGATCGCATGGACAAATAATATCTATCTACAGTGTTTCACTGACATCATTTTTGAATATAGGTCTTCAGTAAGTTAAATGAGATACTCAATACTTTCTTTAAAACTGGGTTTCCTGTTAGATCATTTTTGCCTAACTATAGGCTAATTTAAGCTCTAGGAGATATTCAAGGTAGACTAGGCTCTCAGGTTCAGCACTCAATGTATCTTCAACTTAGTGAAGTTTATTTACAGTAAGTTTATGAAGAACCCCTTGTTAACTGAGGGCCTTCTGTATATTATATCTTCTATTAATAAATCACAAATCCTTTCATGTTCCATATGTAACACCTCTCTCCCCAGAACAATAAAGTACAGAATACCTACCTCTGTTTCCTTCTCTTCAATGATATTTACAAGTCCTAAGAAAATATTTTGAAGTTTGATCAAAAATGGTTCTGGATAGATTGCCCAATCTTCCCATGCTCTGAAGCAGGTCATTACCCGTTGCTGAATAAATAGAAAACAAACAGTGAATGACTAGTTGAGGCAGTATGTCTCAAACTTCAGTTCATGAGGACAACCAAATTTTCTTTGTTAGATTTTTTTCCAAATTAAAGAAAATTATGTGTGTCATTTCCAAATTTTTTAAAGCAATGCTATCTCCCAAGTAAACAGAATAAAGATCTAAAAATATGGGGGGTGGGGGGAAGACCACTTGTTTTTTATTTAAGGTCAACTCTCATGTAGTTCGTAGTGTGTGTGAGCCACATTCTGAAATACCATCTCACAGTACCTTCTGACACTAGAGACCAAAGCCATCAAGCTTTACCCTGAATCCATTATGACTCAAGTCTTGGCTAAAATTTTTCTTTGTACATTTCCTAAACTTTCCTTTAAAGCATAACTTACAATGAAAATTCAAGACAAAAATTTTTTATGGATTTGTTTGAATATTATGGTGATATGAATAGGAATGGCCCCCATAAGACTCATATGTTTGAAAGCTTGGCACATAAGGAATGGCACTATTAGGCAGTGTAGCCTTGTTGGAAGAAGTGTGTCACTGTGGGGGCAAGCTTTGAGGTCTTCTATTCTCAAGCTACATCCAGTGTGGCACACAGTCTCCTTCAGCTGCCGGCAAATCAAGACAGAACTCTCAGCTCCTTCTCCAATACCATGTCCACCTGTATGCCATCATGCTTCCAGCCATAACAATGGACTAAACCTCTGAAACTATGAGCCAGCTCCAATGAAATGTTTTCCTGTCTGTGGTCATGGTGTTTCTTGACAGCAATAAAACCCTAAGACAAATACCTATATAATGAGGACATGGGACAGCTTCACAAGCTAAAGAAATTTCCCAACAAAGTCTCCTTTCCTCAGTAGTACATTCATTTATTCAATAACTACGGGGGGAGGGGTTGAGAGGCGTTTTCTTTTTTTTTTCTTTTCAAGAACTGTCTTCTCTATTTTTATTTTTATTTTTATTTTTATGTGTGTAGGTAGTCAGAAGAAGACACTGGATTCCCTGGAGCTGGAGTTATAGGCAGTTGTGAGATGCCAGACATGGGTGTTGAGAACTGAACTGTGACCTCTGGAAGAGTGGTAAGTGCTCCTAACCTGAGTCATCTCTCTGTCCTGATTGACTTTTTCTTAACATTGGTCTACAGGTTAAGGTTATTGTTTTTTTCTTTTAAGAGGCTATAAAACAAAGAAACCCGAAATAGGATTTTCCCCCTTCAAAGCAGCTCATCAAAATTATTCCAGGCCTGTCTTAAATATGTACTCATGATTTAAACAAGGACAGTGTCCAGTGTCTAGTACTCCTCACTCTGAGAAATTTTAAATCTTCCACACAACTTCTGAAGATTAGATTTTCAATTCATCATCAAGGACATTCTTAAGCCACCTTTGCGCTCCCACCATTGTTCAGCTTCAAGCTCTCATGTGCAAACTGGGAAACCAGTGATGTCCATTATTTCTATCAAGTTTTACACTGGGACACAGCTGTAAGAACTCGGCTTTCAGAATGACACATTTCACACTAGGGTACCATGAGGCCTTTCTGTGGTAGGCAGTCACTAAATCTACTCAATCTTCCCATTTTCTGGGGGAAGAAACACAGGCCAAAGCTTCAGGCCACCCTGAGACTCTGAAAATATGTGGCTAGCTGCTGCCATCCATGCGCTGTTCAGATCCTTACCCCAGCTCAACCATGGTACCTCAGCAGACACAGGGTCAAGTGGCACCTCCAGGCCCCATGCCTCAGAAGGCGAGGTCTCACATCACAAATGCCTGATATACTGGAGCTATCAATGCCATAAACAACTATCTAAACAACCATGTATAATGTACTTTCTAAACAACCATGAATAACCACAATTCATCCTCCTAATCTAGACAAATTACATATAGCATGATAAAACAATGATCTTATAAATGTGTTCTGTAAGGAGAAAAACAAAACAGTATTAAAAATATTTAAATAAAAAGACTTGAGGCCCTGAGTTCAGCTCCCAGCACCTACATCAGTTGGTTCACAATTCCCTGTAACTCTAACTCCAGGGGGGTCCTATACCTCTGGCTTGGATAGGCAGCTGCACACATGTGAATATACCCACACAGAGACACATATATACCATTAAAACTAATAAATCACTAAAGAAAATTTTGAAAATAAAAATATTTAAATTAACATAAAACTAAAAACTACCTGGAAACATAATATTTTAAAGAATTTTAAGAGTAATTTCTAAACAATCCAAGTCTTAAATATTATATTGGTCTAACATTCTTTTATAGCCCTCTAATGCCCTCCTCCTCTATTTGACACATCAGGGCAAAAACAATAAAATATACATACCTTAAAATTTTCAGATTGTAAATGGCCTTGAATTGTACGATAAGTAGCATTGAGGTCTGAAAATATCTGACATAGCTTTGTTTCAAAACTGAAATTCAAACAATACATTCTTTAAAATAGAATTTGTTTAAAAACTCATATTTTCTTCAGCCTGCTAGCCAATGAAAACCTCTCCTGGTCTTATATATAAAGCAAATTAAGAAATTTAAAATACCAGTGTCCTTTAGCAAACAATTTTATACTTAAGATGAACTTAGCCATATGGCCCTCCTTTTTTGTGTCATATAACAGCAAACTTAAAAGGTAAGTTTTAATAGAAGGAAAAAAGTATTAGCATAAGTGGGGCTCTCCTCCTGATTCCGCTCCCCTTCTCTTACCTGCACAAGTACTCACACAGACACATATACACACATATGTAGCATAGGCTAACCTAGAACTCGCTACTTGGCCAAGGATAACCTTGAACTTCTTATCCTCCCACCTCCACCTTCCAAGTGGCACCACCACACCTGATTGTATGCAGTGCTGGGGATCAAACCCAAGAGTTCTGGGCACCCTATGCAAGTACTCTACAAACTTAACTCCACTCATCCCTAGGTCATGACTTGTGTTTTCAAAGAAGCACCTGGACACTGTACAGGAACAGACCAGAGGGTATAGAGGAGAGACCAGATAGGAGACTACTGCTGTAATTCAGGTTAGACAATGGCGACTTGGGCCAGCAGCCAAGAAAGTGTCAGTCAGCTTCTGGATAGATTATAAAATATATTTTTATCAATAAGAAGTGTTAGGGAACAAAGTATGGGGTTGACGAGAAACAGGGAAGTATGAGAGACTTCAAAGAGCTAACACTCTAAAATGCAAGTCATATAGCTTAGTTAGAATGATCCTGAGCTGCTGATCCTCCTGCCTCTGGACTGTCAGGGTCACAGAGTACACTACCACATTTGCTTTTAAGTGGTGCTGGAGATCAACCCAGTGCTTCTTAGCCAGGCAAGCCTCAACCAACTGAGTTATAAATCCCAGTCCAGGCCACAATTCTGAATTTCCTTTTAGAGTCAATTCCTTTCCCTGAGCCTGACCATTTAATAATTACAGACAGGTAGGAGCTCTGCAGAACTGAAGATTTACATATGAATTACAATGCTGACTACAACCCCGTTTGTTTTAGAAAACAAGAACAAGGAAAATAAATGAACAGGGCTGGCAAGATAGCCACTAAGAGCCGTGAAGTTCATTCAGATCCTGGTAAGGACATGGCTGATCACAACTATGATCCAAGGGATCTGACACCTTCTAACCTACATGGGCATCAGGCACACATGTGATGCACATAATACATGCAGACAAAGCACTCATATGGAAAAAAATAAATAAATTTTTAAAAAACTAATATAAGCTGGGCATTGGTGGCACATGCCTTTAATCCCAGCACTCGGGAGGCAGAGACAGGAGAAGCTCTGTGATTTCAAGGCCAGCCTGGTCTACAGAGAAAGTTCAGAGAAAGTTCCAGGACAGGCTCCAAAGCTACACAGAGAAACCCTGTCTCGAAAAACCAAAAACTTAAAAAATTAAAAAAAAAAAAGAACTAATATATTGATTACCAAAAGAAAACAATGTTAATAAAGCTTTATTTCTTCTTTTACATATGCCATTATTTATTATACTATTTATGTTTATTATAAAGTAGCTAAATAGGCAAACTATGTGGTTTTAATTTTTTTAAAACACCATCTATTTGTTCTGTCAACATTTAAGAGATAAAATATAGCTGGGTGGTGGTAGCACAAACCTTTAAATCCCAGCACTCAGGAGGCAGAAGTAGGCAGATTTCTGAGTTCTAAGCCAGGCTAGTGTACAAAAGGAGTCCCAGGACAGACTCCAAAGCTACACAGAGAAACCCTGTCTTGAACACCAAAAGAAGAAAAAGAAAAAGGAAATAAAATATGACATATGGTGGTCCATACTATAATCTCAGCACCTGGAAGGTTATAGCAAGAGGACTGCCACAAGTTTAAGGTCAGTCTGGGCTACACAATAAATTCTAGGCAATCTAGGATAGAATGAGACCTCATTTCAATAAAAACCAAACAAGGACAAGCTACATGGCTTAGTTGGTGAAAATATTGTTGTCAGTGAGGACAACTTGAGTTTAATACCTGGGACCCATGTGGTGGGGGAAAAAAAAAAAAAAATCAACTTTTTTTTTTTTTTTTTTTTTTTTTTTTTTTGGTTTTTACGAGACAGGGTTTCTCTGTATTGTTTTGGAGGCAATCGGTTCAGCCCGGCCTCGAACTCACAAGAGATTCGCCTGCCTCTGCCTCCGGAGTGCTGGGATTAAAGGCGTGCATCACCGCCGCCCGGCAAAAATCAACTCTTACAAGTTGTCTTCTGACCTCCACTTACAGGTCATGTTCCATGTTTACATATAAACACAAATAAATGCCATTAAAAAGAAAAACTGAGCTGCGCATTGGTGGCGCACAACTTTAATCCCAGCACTCCAGAGGCAGAGGCAGGCAGATCTCTGTGAGTTCAAGGCCAGCCTGGTCTACAGAATGAGTTCCAGGACAGCCTCCAAGACAATACAGAGGAACCCTGTCTCAGAAAAAAACAAAAAACAAAACAAACAAACAAAAAAAACCTGAAAAAAGCTTTCAAAAAACTACTAATTTAGCTTACATTGCTTTAGTTCAATAAACATGTATATCACTTTAAAATTTCTACTACGTTTCTTTAAAATTTACTATTATTGTTGTTGTTGTTGTTGTTGTTATTATTATGCAGGTGATGGTTGAAGTCAGGGTCAGAAACAACCTGGTGGAGTCATTTCTTTCCTTCTACCTTTACATGAGTTCCTAGACTATCAGGCTTGCATGGCAAGCATATTAACCCACTGAGCATCTCACCAGCCCCCAAAATTATTTTGTATTAGGGAGGAGTCCTAACAGAATAATCTCTTTTTTGATCCTCACCCTTAAATATACCATCTCAGAGTATCAGCTCCTATCTTATACTTACAATTTCCTGTAATATGAGGCATTGGCAACTTTGGCTGAAGAGTTGTACAAAACATCAGAAACCAAATATAATCTGGCAATCTGTAATACAAAATGAGACAAAATGAAAACATTAGCCAATAGTATATCTAGAAAAAAACTGTACACTCATTTTTTGAAGTAATGGCAGAAGCTAAGTTTAACTATCATTTAACAGCAAATACAAACTATTAGTTATACGAGATCCATAATCATTACAATCATGACTTTTGCAGTAATACAATTTGTTAATTTCTTTGCATTTCAACCAGTTTCTCAGACAAAAGACTATCTAGAAAATACTTCATCTGTTTAGCTCTTCATGTAAAAAAGAAAATAATTCCAACAACAAAAAAGTCAATTATTACCCCACCTTAACTAATGTTCAGAAAGAGAAACCGCTTCAGTACCTTCTTGGGAAGAGGTGTCTTTAAGATGGACAATGACTCAGTAATGCAATCCACTATTTCTTCAGCAGCTTCAGCATTATTAAGACAGAATACCATGGCATCTCCAATATCATTTTTCCTTGGAGTTAATCCTCGCAAGATTTCTTCTAATTTATCCCGCTGTCTGAATATAAGTTTTTCACTTATAAACATTTAAACATAACATTACAAATGTCCTAATAACTACTGCTCACAGACTAGCTTTCTTGTGTGTGTGTGGGGGGGAGGGGGTTTCTCTACTATATCAGTTACCATGTTCACCTCACAAAAACTAGTTTGTTTAAAACCCACTCAGATAAAATGGTTTTTAAAGACTGAGTTTTGTTTGTTACCTTTTTTTTTTTTGGGGTGGGGTGGGGAGATTTTGAGACAGGGTTTCTCTGTGTAGTAGTACAGCTGTCCTGGAACTAAGCAGGCTGGCCTTGAACCTCCAGACATCTGCCTGCCTCTGGGATTCAAGGTGTTCGCCATCACCACTCACCTACAATTTTTAAAGAACTCATATATAGAAATGAATACCTTTTCTAAAACTAACAAAATATTCTAGTGACTTTTTTAAAGCTTAAATAATTTTAAATTATGGTCATTTATTTTCAAGTCTCCAAAAGTATTCCACTCAAACTATCTCCATTAAAATAGAAACCCTCTAAGTTCTCCATATTATTTTTTTAAAGGATTACATTATCACTTTTACAAGGGATTAAATAGGACAAGCTTTTCCTATAAGGAAAACATAAATGGTTTAAGTCCTGCAGGCCACATGGTCTCTGTAACACAGTTCCTCTAGGCTATTATTCCAAGGCAGTCTTATACACATGTAAAGAAATGAGCAACATTGTGTTTCAATGAAGCTTTATTTACTTGGAAGGCAAGATGACAAAGCAGGTAAAGGCATTGCCGCCAAGCCTGATAACCTGTTTCATTCCTAGGGTCCAGAGGTGAAAATTAAGAAAAGTGCTGTGGAGTTGTCCCCTAACCTCCAAATGCATGCCACAAGTGTACATGCATACACACATATACAAATACAGTAAGCAAACATAATAAGACTTTAACTTTCATTTACAAAACCAGAAATAGCTACATTTAGACTAAAGACTGGATCTGCAGCTAATGTAATGAACATACTACAGGAACAAACACACTCAACAACTGAAGGACCCCACTAGCAAACACCCTCACCAACACAGCACTGATACATAGCTTTCCACGAGGTGCAATGAAGCATGTAACATTACATGCTAAAAACCTTTTAGCCAACATTTTCCATGAGGTATGAAGAGCCTCTAAACACTTATTATGTCTGCTTTTTAAAATGTAGCTAACTCATTATAGCAGTTCTGAATGAGCACTAACGTTTTTTGAAGATTTAATTTCTATCTTATATATTTGAGTGTTTTACCTCCATGTATGTATATACATACACAACATGCATATGTGACACATGTAGAGGCCAAAAGAGGACATTAGAGCCCTAGAACTGGAGATGTAGATGTTTGTGGGCCACCATGTAGGTACTGGGATCTGAACCCAGGTCCTCAGCAACAGCAACAAGTGCTCTTATTAGGTAAGCCATCTCTCCAGTGGGCACTAATATTGTTTTCCTAGCTGCCACCTCAGAACTACTACACACTATAGTAGTAGTTCTATATAAAACTACAGAAAGGCTTTGTATTGTATATGCCTGACCCTACTACACGGCAATTGTTCTTCTTTTATCTTGCACAAATTCTAATAGTTTCTAGGTAATTTCTATAAGAATCTTAAGTACTACACTACTAGAGAAAGAGCTCAACTATACTTAAGAGATGATCACTAATTTCATTAGGAAGAGGTTAAGGTCAGCAGGACACCTCATGTTATTTACCATTGTTTTTACCCAATGTCTAAAATCATAAAACGTGTTCCTCTTAAACACTCCCAAGTTAAAAAGACCATTTTTATCATGTGGCTGAAAGAGTTACAGCAAGCCAGCTAGAGAAAGCGACTGTTAGAGCAACTTTCCTGAATACATAACAGAAAAGCTCTTACTCTTCCTTGAGCGCTCCCTTTTTACTAGGCTCTTCCACAAAGGCTTCTGCCTCTTGCTCTTCCGACATCCCGTGAAGGTACGGATTTAATGGTGGTGGCCTCCAAAATGATCCATTTTTGAACATGCGAAAATCTTCTGTCCGCCATTTAGTTGGAGAATCACCCTAATAGTATCCAAAAAGTTATTAGAAAGCTCTAAACCTCAGAGTTAAAATCAGCAAAGTAACTGATCCTACTTGCCTGCAGAATAGAATAAAGCTTCCACCTGTAGTAAACATGGGCTGGTGTCTGGTTTTCAAATAAGAACCTAAACAAAACAAACAAAAACAACCATCACCATATTCTTTAGGGAAAAGCTATCTATACTTTCATGTCTACAAGAAACCTTTTACTTCTTAGTCTATTCATTTAAAAAGGAGAGAGAAAGCACGCTACTCTCAACTAAATAAAACAAATAAGAAATACTAATTTGCCCTCTTACTTCTAAAGAGAACCAAAAGCAAAGACCCTGGGGCATGAGGGTAGGGAAGGGGTCTTTGCTTTTATAATATTCACCCTTCCTCTGCTCCTGACTGCCTTAGGAACTAATATGAACATTCAAAATGTTTTTGTAATTTTTAATTTTTTTGTTTGGTTTTGTTAGAGACAAAGTCTTTCTATGTAGCCATGGCTGTCCTGGAACTCACTATAAGCTACCCTCCAACTCACAGAAATCCACCCACCTCTGCCTCCCACACACTAGGAATAACGGTGTGTACCACCATGCCACAACTGGCATTATAAAACATAGGTCAGAAGATGTTAGAGAATATTAGAGAGGTTTTCTAAACAGGTAATTTGAAAAGTTTTTACCCTATTTCATAGAGCATTACCAAAGCAATGTCTTAGATACAGCAATTCTGATGATAAACAATTTCCTTTCAAACTACTTTGCCCAATTCTAGCTTGCTTATGACTCTCACTGAAAAGCATAATGAAAAGCTATTTTCCTCCTAGACAACGCTAAAGCTGTCTTTTTTGTTGTTGTCATTTTATTCTTGGAAATAAATACATACATATATTATGTGTTTGTACGTGTGCATGTGCTCATGCATGTCACAGAACAAATAGCAGTCAAAGGACAACTTCTCTTCCCACCAGCTGGGTTCTAGATTTTGAGCTTAAGTTGTCAGCTTGGCAGCAGGAGTCCTTAACCCAATGAGCTATCTCATTAGCCTACTCTTGGAAATGATTTTAATATCAAAAAAGAAAGAAGCAGAGTTAAAAGACTTGAAAATACTATTTGAGGATAAGTAAAGTATAGAATATAGACACAGACTTTAAAAGGAGCTAGGTATGAATTTTGCCTGTAAAGTAGGGCAAGTACAGGGCCTGCCTAGGTTACAGAATGAGATCATCTCATTCTCCCCCTCATCTGCCTCCAAAAGAAAGTGCTGAAGTCAATCCTAAAAGACAAATGCTATATGATTCTACACTTAAAGAGATATGTAGAGTAGTCAAAGTCATAGAAATACAAAGAATGGTATTTGCAAGGAGATATGAGGTCAGAGAAATGAAGAGTTATTCTTCAATGAGCATAGAGCTTCAGTTTTGAAAGGTGAAAAGAAATCTGGAAGTGAATGGATACATGGCAATGCTATAAAATAATATGAATGTATTTAATGCCAAATAAAAATAGTTCATGCTAAATTTTGTTATATGTGTGTGTATATATATATATATATATATATATATATATATCAATCACCATAATAAAGGAAACACACCTGAACATAGGATTGTTGATTTCTCTGTTCATAATCATAGCTTCAAACATTGGCCCTTCACGCACAACAAATTCTATCATTCGGTGTATCAGGGCGAGTAAATTCCTACAACAACAACACAGTTAAAGAAAATGGATTCAGACATACCCCTATATAAAACTACACTTGACCTAAGTTACTATAATGATGCAGTTTAAAAAAAAAATCATTCTTCTGACTAACAGAATTTAATATCAAAAAAGTGACCTGGAGCATACATTAAAGGCCTTGTGTGTAAAGAGGGAATGGAGGACTAGGGTGGAGGGGAGGGAGGGAGGGAGGGAGGGAGGGAGGGAGGGAGGGAGGGAGGGAGGGAGGGAGGGAGGGGAGGTGAAGGAGTGTGGGAAGCCACAAGACAGCCTTGTAGTTAATAGATTGAATTTTCTAAATGCCACTTAACATTATTTTCAAAATGCAAAAACTTAAATTATAAATCACAACTAATTGGATAGCTGCAAATATATAAAATCAGCAACTTAAAATTTGCATGTTACAACCATCTAGAAATGTATACACTATATCTTTTTTAAACAAAATAGTCCTAATACAGGCACTTTCATAACGATACTAAAATGCTATAACTATAACTTTAATTTACAAAAATGTAAAACTATCTAACAAATTTAAGACCTGATTTAATAAAAGACCCATCCAAATTCCTGTGTTTCTAGTACACACATACCAGATGGAGTTTTTATTAAATCTGACCTTTAATGAGGCAACATCCCTTTGAAGCATACTTCAAAATTAGTTCAGAATTTCTAACATGTAACCCTGACTGCATATTACCAACCAGTGAAAAAATAATACTGTAAAGTCATGAGTAAATGAGGTCCTACACTTTACAAAACAAAGGACATGGTGAGGTGCCCATATTCTGTAATATTATCTTCCATATTTAAGCACAAAGATATGAGCTACTGATTATTAAGTCACTTTATTGGTTGCACTCATATGAAGAATTTAATTTTTTAAAATTTAAAAATAAAATCTGTAATAAAAGCTTCTAAACTAATTTCAGGCATTGACTAATGCGTTAGGCAGAAATGACTCAGCTTACTTATTCATAAGCTGCTCTCAACTTCACTTTCACCAGTCCCCAAGTAGTACAAAGTTGGCAAGTAACAATTGGGAAAAGCAAAAGGATATTGGCTCCTGGTATAAGACACACATAAATTACATTCTGAGCATTCTTGGCTCAATTAAGTCCATGTAACTGCTAGAATATAAATACAATTATAAAGACAGATTTTTTTTTCTTTTTTGATGGGGGTTCTATAATACTTTGCTTTAAAGTACCTATCTTACACTGACTATATTTTCTTACACTGATTGTATTTTCTAGTTTTCAAACAAGTCTACTCAAATGGACACTAATATTTCCACACAATAGGAAAAAAGTAATTCTAAAGATCAAAAAATTACATGGAGGTTTAAGTCTTTACAAAGGGGAAATTATCCATTTAGATCTATCAATTCAACTTCAAATTGTTTTTTTAAAAATCACTTAATTTTAACTTAAAAATTATTCTCCTTCACAAAAGTATTAACTGCTATGCAGATACTAGTGAGAACTTGGCAGCCATTCAGTTTGTGGCACTGTTTAGAAGGGGCCATGCAATTATTACTTAATTTTAAAATCCCCACTGCTATGAGGCAAATTAAAACTCAAGAAAGTTTCATGTGCAAATAATAATACATGACCATTTACATGACAAATGTTAAAGACTCAGGGGCTTCTATCAATATAGAAAAAAAAAAAACAACTTGACTTCAGTAAATTAAGAAACATGAAAAATGGTTTATCATTTAAAACCAAAGGACTCATTTTAGTGGTAAATCAAGACTTTTCAGCAAAATATATAAGGAAAATTTTGTATAGAAATAAGCTGAGTCACACATGAAATTACTGGACATGTTTTTTTGAATGCTACAAAAAATACTTTCCCTATGAATGTTTCAACAGTGGAAAAATAACCCACTATAGTTTTAAACAGGCTTGTAACTGATAAAAATCTACCTTTATAAAATTATAAGCTTAACGGAAGTTAAAATGTTTCATATGATTATCTTAAAATCAAAATCTGACAATTAGTTGCTGCTGTCTTGGAATCAAGAGTAAAGAGTTGTAATCATACTCATCCCTCAAGGATCGTATAATTTTATTTAAAAAATGACTTTTCTATCAAAACAAAAACAGTGTAGTACAAAAAAACATTTTAAAGTGCATTATTTTAGTTTTTAAAACAGTAATTATCATATTCTGGGCAACCACAACAAAAAAAGTCTCTCAGTTATAATAAAAACCACATTTATTGGAGTCGATCGTACCAATGTCTGGTCAAAAACTGTATACTTTCCCAATCCATCCCATGATGTTTTCCTGGTCCCCCGCTGCCGCAGACAGTTCAGCTGGTGTTGCTCACCAAGGCCAATGTCAAAGAGAATTTGGAATTCTTTTGTGTTCATTTATTATTCAACCAGTGTTGTGTTCCTGTGTTTGGGAAAAGGCTGAGCTTGACTGAGCAAGAGCATACCTACAGCATGATTGTTCTTCATTAGAAATGTATTAAAAAAGAAAAAAGGGAAGGGAGAAAAATAAAAAGATCCAAACACCTTTGTTATCATGACTAAAAATTCCTAATATGTCTAGTGTCCACGAAAACAGTTAGAATTTCTTCTCAAAATCAATTAGAAAAAAAAATACAACTGCACCTCCAGTAAGATAAATCAAGATTGTATATTAAATGTAGACAATCCAGAAACCAACAAAAGACTGGTTCAAATTGCAACATTATCTAAAATTTAAGACATGTTTTATTTAAAATACCTATTTTTCCCTTTACAGTAGTTTCAAATTACCAGACCAACAACTCCACATTAATCTACTTAAACATTCTAACTTCTAGAACTATTAAAAACTCTCTAAAATGATAACAAAACAAAAGAAAAGATAACATAAAATTACAAGTGTACTAAACTTAATTTTTATACATTCCCCCAAAAAGCACTGGAAAGGAGCCATTGCTCAGTCAAGATATTACCTTTTCCTCAACACCATTTCTTTTCAATTCAGAAGGGGATATTGTCTATATTTAGATCAGTAATAATAAAGAAAAACATGTACCTTTCTGTTGGGATAACCACTTTGACTATGGCTTGCGACAGAGTCTGTATATGAAGTCACATCAGATAATAAACATAGAATATGTGAGTATTGTTAACAAGTAACAAGCAAAAATATACATAATGCATTGAAAACACTACACATCTAATCACAAGTTCTGCAGGCAATCACTGCATTGGAAGTAATTATACACTATGCAATTACATAAATGCAAATGGACGTGTTCACAGTGAACAATTAATGTTCACCAAATGCAAAGAATCAGAACATTCCCGCTAGAATGCACATCAATGCACTGAAATAGGTACTACACTGAGAATTATCAGATAAAGATTTTAATTTGTGAAGTAATTAACTGTTTGCCTCTGACCATACAGTTTGCTACTTTGTTCCCAAGCCTTTAAAACCAGCCCTGCAATTTCAAGTGTAATTAACTTGTAACAGAACCAACAAATTCTTGTAACTCGAAATTAAGTTGGTTTTATGTTTAATAAAGAAAAATACTCACCCTTTGCTCTTACTAGATTAGCTAATTTTGAAATACCATATATGCGGTTATATAGTCTAATACCTCAAGACCTGGAAAGCTAAGTTAGTTTGCTGTCATCCAAACAATTTAACTATTTAGGTGGTCTTTCTAGTTGAAAAGTCTCTTAACCAAATAAAACTATTATGTTCTTAGAACAAAGTAAATTCAAACACTGAATTCAAGCAAACCTGAATACAACACTGAACAAGGGGGGAGGGGAGCTTACCAAGGGGTCAAAAGGGAATGGTAGCCAAATAAAAATATGACCTACTAATTTAATATAGGGTTTCCATGGGCTAAGGCAGGGAACATATCTACTTATTTCTTTATGAGTTGCCAGAGTAACACACATATTTTTATAAAATTGTTGAAAAGAAATACTACCACAGATTTAGTATTTACACATTAGATGCCGCCCTATGTACATTTTTAAAATTACCTTCTCGAAATCCTCCTTGTTTTTAGGTGGTGGTAACATAGGAGCATTGGGGTTTTTTAATCGCTCTCTAGGCTGCGCATTAAAAGGCAGTCCGGATGGAGGTGGGGGAAGGGTGTGTTCCATCATAGAAGGCGGAATGTATATTGGATGTGGAGGAATAGGTACAGCTTTACCCCAACCTAACTTCATTTCAAAAGACATAATCATTTTTCCTAAAAAGGAAAAAAGAAAAGAGAAAGGTTACTTTGACAAACCTCCAGAGAAGAAAGTACTCCAGGTAACATAAATTAAATTTCCTTTATAGGCTTTCAAATTTTATCTAAATTCTCAAGACAGTTTTTATGAATAATCTACACCAAACAAAGAAATACCTAAATTCTACAAATGGAACACAAGAACTTTACCATTTAAATTTTTTAGAGCTCTTTCAGCATCTCTTCTATTCATAAAAGCCACAAAGCCACAATTTCTTTCTCTTGCTCTTTCTTCATCAGTTCTAGGCCACATAATTTTTACACTAGCTAATGGTCCAAATCTTCCAAATTCTTGGCACAGCATTTCTTCATTCATCTATTAAAAGATGAGAATGTTTGGTTATACAACACAAGGAAAGGAAGGGGCAAAGAAGTCTATGCAGCCCAGAAAGCAAAATCATTTTTACAAAGTAAAAAGTAACATATGAATGTTACAGTATTACATTCAGATACTAGGAACTCAACACCAGTAAAATCGGCCCTACCAGTGCATCTGCAGTATGTTCATGTTAGAAGCCTTCTACTTCATTTAAATTAGCAGCTTTAAGGTCTTAGAGCTACTGTAACCAAAGGCATGATGAACTCTCTTCCTGATTGAAGGTCTTGGGATCTAAACATCTGTTTGACAGCTATAGTTTACTATAGTTTCATAGCTATAGTTTCAGGCAAGAATGGGGAGTGTATTTGTTGAGGGTGAGAGGAAAAAATAAGACCCTATTGCTCTCCTCTCTCAAGTACCCATCTACCAGGGTGAACAAGAACAGACTCATAAAACAGTACATACACAGCAGGATCAAAAGTATTCTTTTCTCCCAACAAAATATTCCATCTAACTACCATATCCCCTCAAATATATTAATCAAACCAAAGCAGGGGAATTAATACACTGAGCCAGTGCAGTGGTATGTCCTCCCATCAACAGAGGGAGGTGATAAACAGGAGGAGCCCAAGTTCCAGCTAAAACAGGAACACCGTTCACAAAGGGAAAAGCACAGGACGAAAAGAATAAGGAAGCAAGCTACACACACGAAAAGAGGTGACTCAAAGAGTACAATCTAGTTACTAAGAGAGAAGACACATCGTCCAGAGCATACAGAACAATTTGGATCTAACCAGTAAGTCCCAAGTCTACAAAGTAATTATTTAATGCCATCAGATTTGTCAACTTCAAAATCTAAATTTAACTTTACTTTCCTAGATTTTATTTCCAACAACAAAAAGGAACATGAGCCAACACTCATTTTATTTTACTTATATTACCTGTGGATTAATGTTTCCAAGATATAAGTTAGTAGTACTTGGATCTCCTACATCATGTGAGCCAGGTGCATAATCATCAAGAACTAAAACAAGGAGAAAAAAAAAAACATTATACCCTGTAAAATACAAAGCTGAAACAATTTCTATTAATTAAAAAAGCAAAAAACTGTATTACCACCAGATGATCGATTTCTTCTTGAAGGCACATCCACTTAAAGAGAAAAGAGAACAACTCTCAGCTTTTAGGATAATATATCACAAATATATATACTAAAATAAACATCACTTACTAGACCGTCGTTGACCATCAGAATCTGACTGAGGAGGCTCAAATCGACTTAACCTGCCTTTTGTTTTATGTCTCTCATCACGTTCTTCCTGAATTCTGTTGAAAATATTTATAGTCAACTCAGAGTAAGCCATACTCATATTTAGTAACACAACTTATCTAAGTAACATCGTCAAATAATTTAATGTATTTGTATTACTGGTAATTACATACAAGATTAGTGATCCCTTCCAGTTATAAGACAGGAAGGAACAAGCATATCTCTGCAGTACACACTGAAAATAATGTCTCTTTAGGGGTGAAAAATAATCTTAACACAAAACTACTACTTACATTTTTTGCTCTCAATAGATTTGATGACCTCTACTCTAGTGAATAAATACGATTCCAGATAGGAAATAAACCAATTGAACTAAATCTACACATTACAAGCAGCAATGGACATTAACTAAATGCTAGTTGACTCTCAAGCACATACTATGTGTTATAGCTACAGCAAGCTCACTTGTAAACCAGTTGATAACGAGTATACATACATACCAACATCTCTACCTATCAGTCCAGTATGCCTGTGGTAGAGAATTCTCCCTATAAAACTTACTGTTTTAGTTCTTCTTTGAAGAGTTCCAAATTGCTTTTTTTCTTTTCTTTCTCTCCTTTCTTCAGTGGCTATGAAGAATATGATAAGTTATAGTTGAAAAAAGATTATATAAAATTTATGGTTTCTTTTGGCAGTGAAAAAATCTTCTGGAATTACACAATGGCAATTTTAGAATAACTGTGAAAATACTAAAAGAGCCTACCCAATACAGACTTTAAAATTTTTAAGGGGTGTGAATTACATAGCAATAAAGCTGTTATATTTTAATTGCTTTCAGAGCTATCTTAACAGCCGCAAGAAAAATCAATCTCACTATTTAAAGTAATCATATTTAATTAACCAAATGTGGCTCTAAGTGACCAGATCCCACATTTATCAACCTACTGTCTCATGGAAACTTTTGATTTCCAATGAACAAAACTCTATAATGAAAAATTAAAAGATACATCAGCTGACAGTAATCCCTAAGAAGTTGTAAAGCCATCCTGAGAAACATGAACATATTGCTAATAATTTTAGGATCGTGGTTCAGAACTGTTTAAAAGGATAATATTACACTACATTTACAATAAGACTTTTGACTTGCGATATATAATGTGAATACAGTCACAAATGTTCAACAAGTAGTACTGTCATGTCCTCACCTAATCTACCACTGCTCATCTCATGAATTACTGAGTTAGACAACATCAAAACTCAACACCTACTCCAAGACTCATAAACCATAAAACATTTCTTATACGGGGTGCACTCAAAGTACCAATGACAATGCTAGCTTCTAAAATAAACGCTCAATTATTTAACATTACTTACAGGTTTTTTTGTTTCAATTACAAGAAGAGATGGCGGCCTTTCATTGGACGACTGATTCGGAGGATTTTTTTGATCTGCAAATCTTGAAGATGGCTTATAGATTTTACCTCTTTTTTCATCTGTTTCATGTTCATCTGAAATTTAAAATACTAAGTTGTAAAACTTCATATAACTTTGGTTTTTCTTATTTTTATTTAAGAGGACACTTTTAGTATTAAGATTTGAATATGAAATTAAATTTAATTACTACTCTACCCTAAAAAGTCACAATTTAATCACTTTATAGCAAAACTAGTAACATTAAAATTTCTGCAAAATAATCTGTTTATTTTTAAAGCTTGGTACTAAGTATTTTTTGTTATTAACTCCTTCATACAGTCTTGATAATCACATTCAGTATCTCTTCATCACTCCATATTTGGTCATTTATTTTGCTAGTCTAACCACTAGAGGGCTCTAATAGAAAAGAAATGTGAAGCTCAAAGTCAAATGTCTTCCATAGTTAATTTGTTGTTGAATCATCCAAGGTTCGTTCAAATCCAGATTTCTGCACTTACCTTTAGCTGCATTAACAACCCCGCCTCGAACAAATGTTTTCACTTTATTACCATCACTTCCTTCAAAAGCAGCAAGAAATTCCTCATAAATTTCAGCAGCTGCCTTTTCATCCTCCTAAATACATAATGAAATATTAGTGACGTGAGAATTGCTGTGTGGGTATGGCTTGACTTGTTTGTTTTTTTAAAAACTGGATACTAAACAACTGTTTCTTTTCTTTTTTTGTTAAGATTTATTTATTTATTTCAAATACAGTGTTCTGTCTACATACCAGAAGAGGGCACCAGATTGAATTGTAGATGGTTGTAAGCCACCATGTGGTTGCTGGGAATTGAACTCAGGACCTCTGGAAGAATAGTCAGTACTCTTAACTGCTGAGTCATCTCTCTACCCCCTTGTTTTTGTTTTTTGAGACAAGATTTCACTACGTAGTCCAGGCAGACCTAAACTCACTATGTAGACTAGACTAGTCTTGAACAAAGACATCTGCCTACTTACGCCTATCAAATGGTGGGATTAAAGACAAATGTCTCTATGCAGAGAGACAGCTCAACAGCTAAGGCTCTTCTTCCTGAGGACCCAGCTCCAGCATCCACATGGCAGCTCACAACCATCTGTAACCTGGGTCCTTAGGGATCAACTCCCTCTTCTGACCTCTCTGGGACCAGGTACACAGAGGGCACAAACACATAGACAGGCAAAACACCCATACACATAAAAAAGAAAAGAAATTACACACACAAAGCTTCTTCCTTCCCAAGTAATTCTAATATCTACTATTTGGTAGACAGACATTAGATATCACCAATAATCATTATGCTAAATGATTAAAACAAAAAGGATTTGCTCCTTTATTAGAAATTTAAAGAAGCAGAAAATAACTTAGAATATATATGGGTAAACAAGTAAATGTATTTAAGGACAATTCAAGAGACAAACTATAAGACAAAATGACTGTATGAAAACATTTTAGCCTATTACTATTTAAGAAGTTCTCCAAGGCACGATGACTTAATTCATCATAAATAAAAATTTCATTCTCAAATAACCAAAAATGCAATAGAAGCAAAGCCACAGTACCTATTTCTAACACGGCATTAAAAAAAAAAAAGCTAAAAGAACTGAAATTCTCAACTATACAACATCTAAATGTCCCCAAAATATATGAGTAAGAATACCAAGCTGAGAACGATGACACATACTTAGCACTTCAGAAATGAAGGCAGGAAGACAGCGTTCCAGTCCAGCCTGAGCTACATAACAAGACACTGTCTCAAAAACCCAAATCAAACAGAAGAATGGAACAATTAGAAAAGAAATACATCCAATAACAAGTAGAAGTGCTACTCAATAAAGGGTAAGTATACCAATAAAAGGAGTGTCTAGTGTCAGAGGGAGATACACAGACTTTCCCATAAATGAAACTGGCATAAAAACTATTTGAAAAGAGATAAAATGAAATCAATTGTTTGTTTTATATGCCAGGAAAAACTGCATGAATATTAAATTTACTTAAAAATGGAAACAATCCTAGGAATTCACTGGGATTCTCCTACGAATGCAGATCCTAGAAGAAAATAAAGGAAAATCCATCTATAAGCCAGAAATGGAAAAGAAAAAAAGCAAGAAACCATGGGGAAAATCTGACCACTGACTATATAACAATAGTTTTTACAAAAATAAAACCAGAGGAAAAAAATAAAAAGAAATATAACAGGGGAGAGGGCTACTCAATTGTTTTCTCACTGAAAGAACTGCAAATTTAAAACTATACTGAGGTATTATTTTCCACACTACAGACTGGCAAAGACTCCTTCAACAAGATTCACTACATGCAAGTGTATGGGGGTGGGGTCATCACTTTTATTAGTATTCACTCCAACTATCTCCCTTTTCAGGAATATGTCCCAAAAGGAAAATTAGAAAAAAAAACAAAATGCACCTATTCATAAAAAGCATTTGTAATATAATGTCTTAAGAGCAAAACCATAAATTCCTCAATAGGATTTTAAATGAACACAGACTACTACAAACCTACAAAGCTATAAAAATGTAGACTTTCTCTATCCTATAAAAGTAATCATAAAGATGCAACACTTGGTGAAAAAGGGTAAATGGAGGAAAGTACTCTCACTTTGACTACAGCATGCTACCATCCAAAGTACATGCACACACAAACACACAACTCACACTTTGACAAAAGGAACACTTCAAAAAATAATCAACACATCGAGCTATAGATCAGGGAATAGGCAGAGAAGTTGAACTCATCTAAACATCCCTTATGTTAAAGACTTGACTCAGACATGGAATTGCAAACATCTAAGCAGTCAAATTCTTCAGAAACCATGGTTTCTACTACTTACACATTCATTTCCAAGCATAACCTAAAATATACTTTAAGCATTACCTTTTTCTTTAGTTCCTCTTGTTCCTTCTTACTTAAAGTTCGCTTTGCTGTGCTCATTTTTCCAATACTGAATGCTTTAAGCTTGTTTTCTAGAAGAGGCTGTGAAAAGAAACAAAAAGATTATTTTGTCTTTACATACATATTTTAATGTTACTTATGAATTTAAAATATGTTAATTTAAGCAAAGTCGTTAGAATAATTAGAGTGTTTAAAGTGCCAATGCAAAGGAAAACTGGGCTTACTCCAAGCAGACACCTACCTCAGGCAAATACCCACTCATTGAGGAATGTTCTTTATTTCCTAACTCAAAGTCAGTAACAGGCAAAAGGCTTTTTTAAGAGGGAAGGGGGTTAAAATAATAAAGAAACAGAAATCAAGATGTAGTCAGTTTCTTACTCTTTGGGGGCCTCACCCAGCTCCCAAATAATACATGGAGACTTTTTCTTACTAATGAATGCCCAGCCTTAGCTTGGCCTGTTTCTAACTATTTTTTCTAGCTTAAATTATCCCATTTCTCTTTAACTACATATTGCCTGTAGGCTTTTTACCTTTATTTATTCTATACATCTTTCTTTCTTACTTACTCCATGGCTAGCCCCTGGAACCCTCCCCTCCTCCTCGCTCTTCTTCCCTAAATTTCTCCTCCCATTCATTTATTCTCTCTGCCCTGCCAGCCCCACCTACTTCTCGCCTCTGCCTAGCTACTAGCTGTTCAGCTCTTTATTAGACCAATCAGGTATTTTAGGCAGGCAAAGTAAAACACAGCTTTACAGTTAAACAAATGTAACATAAAAGAATGCAACACATCTTTACATCATTAAACAAATATTCTATAGCATAAACAAATGTAACACATCTTAAACTAATATTCCACAACACCAAGGCTTAGAACAAAAACAAACATAAGAGAAAGAAGAATATAGACATCTCTAGGCAAAAGTAGCAGGACAAAAAACAGACCCTCAAGTGGGAGAGGCATACATTTCCACTCTCAGGAAGCCATCTGGTATTACAAATCACATCACATTCTTTTTTTTTAAGATTTATTATTTATGCCAGGCGTTGGTGGCACACGCCTTTAATCCCAGCACTCGGGAGGCAGAGGCAGGCAGATCTCTGTGAGTTCGAGGTCAGCCTGGTCTACAAGAACTAGTTCCAGGACAGGCTCCAAAACAATACAGAGAAACCCTGTCTCGAAACCCCCCCCAAAAAAGGATTTATTATTTATTATTATGTATACCATTTTCTGCCTGCATGTACCTATCCATGCAAGCCAGAAGAGGGCATCAGATCTCATTACAGATGGTTGTGAGCCACCATGTGGTTGCTGAGAATTGACCTCTGGGAAACCTGAGCCATCTCTCCAGCCCCACATCCCATTCTTTTATAACTTGATTAAGTACCTCATTTATCAAAAATATTTATATTAACATAATTCCATTTTCTTTCCTGGGACTATACCATCTACTGCACATTTCTGCTTTCAGTATATATAAAACTTTATCAATAATTTTGAAAACACAAATGAGCATCTCCAATGTGGAACCCAAAATCTGAAACACTCCATATCACAAATGTAAAGTTCTATACTTCATCCCAAGGGACAGGTGGCAGTCAAAATCCAGGTGCAAAATACTGTGCAACAAATTACCTTTGGGCTATATGTATAAGATATATATACAAATCAGAGATGAACATTATGTTTAGACTTGAATCTCATGCCCAAGATGCCACAAGTCTAAGATTATGTTCCAATAGTCAAAATCTTTTTTTAAAAATCCAAAATCCAAAACACTCCTTGTGTTAAACAGTTCAGACAGTCAACTTATGTAAGAACACTGTATCTGGCAGCACTAAGGAGACCCAGTGGGTTTAAAAAATAAAAAGTGGAAGTCCTCCTTCCTCCTGCATCCTTCTCTTTGCCCAGTGCCACCTCCACACCTAGCTCCAGATGTAGAATGGGCTGGGAGCTGCCTCTGCCTGATAACCATAGCTCTCACCCTCACAGAAGCTCTCTTTGCAGCAGTCAGAGACCATCGCAGTAAACCACAACTGTCCAAACTATAGCGAACAAGTGATTGTGAGGTGCCCAAACCCAAGAAATACATCTAAAACACAACTGGATGAAAGAAAATGAAGCCACACCCATGAAACAATTTGGCTGCCTAAACAGTCCTGAATAATAACACCACCAACAGACATCTTAGTAGAAGAGGGAAATCTCCAGTGGTCCTTCCTCTAGGCAACTAAAGACTGCAGAGAGGGAGATTAAGCCCACAACTGGTTATACAATACCAAGAAGTCAGTCCTGAAATCATTTACACATAAGCAACACTAAAACCAACTTGTAGAACAAATCCTAATTGGTTTTAATAATAAAAACCCGGAGTCAGATATAGCTGAGCGATCAGAGAAGCAGAGCAGCCAGCCACTAAGTCTTACCTCTACAGAATCCTCAGACCAAAGGGGAAATCATGTCCCCACAAACTCTCAGACTGAATGCAATGAGCTCCTGTCTCCTCCTGCTTTATATTCCTCTGCCCAGCTACATCCCTTCCTGTCTCCACCTCTCTAGTGCTAGGGTTAAAGGCGTGTGACTTCCAAGTACTGGGATGAAGGTATGAGCCACCACCACCTAGTTCTGTTTCTCTTTTAGACTGGGCTCAACTCGCATAGCCCAGGGTAGCCTTGAACTCAGAGATCCATCTGCCTCTGTCTCCCTCCCAAGTGCTGGGATTAAAGGTGTGTATCACCACTGCCCGGTCTCTACTGCTGACTAGTGTAGCTAGCTCTGCACTCTCATCTTCAGGCAAGCCTTATTTGTTAAAGCACAAACAGGCAAGCTTTATTTGTTAAAGCACAAACAAAATATCACCACACCAACTCAGAGGGAGGAAGGGAGGGAGGTGGGGGGGACGAAGGGACAGAGGGAGGGAGGGAGGAAGGGAGGGAGGGAGGGAGGGAGGGAGGGAGGGAGGGAGGGAGGGAGGGAGGGAGGGAGGGAGGGAGGGAGGACCAGTGATAGTCAAAGAAAAAGACATGAATTTGAGGAGTCAGGAGGTGGGGATAAAGGAAGGGGTTGAGAAAGTGCATAAAGTTGGGAGGGAAAGGGGTAGGTGAGAGGAGTTGAAAGGGAAGAATGGAGTGTAGACTTGATCAAAACGCATATATACATATGAAATTCTCAATTTAAGAGAAAATTCTTTAAAAGGTTTATTTATTTATTATGGAGACGCTGTTCTACCTTCATGTATGCCTATAATGAGGGCACCAGATCTCATTATAGATGACTGTGAGCCACCATGTTGTTGCTGGGAATTGAACTCAGAACCTTTGCAAGAGCAGCCAGAGCTCTTAACCTCTGAGCCATCTCTCCAGTTCGAGAAAACATGTTTGTAAAGAATTCAGTGCATTTTAACTCTATTTTTGTGTTTGCCTGTGAGAAACAGAGCACATATACCAAAGCATATGTGTGAAGGCCAAAGCACAACTTAAGAGAGCTGGTTCTCTTCATTCATGATGTAGATCCCAAGGAGCAAACTTGGGTGGGTCAGGTTTGGTGGCAAGTACCCTTACAACTTGAGCCACCTAGCTGGTCCAAGTATTTTAATGAAGCCTTCATATGTACAATTTAGAAGCAGTTTTTTCCTTCTGAAACTGTCGATAGGCAGTTGTTTCATGTTACTCATCTGATTCATAAACTTAAAAAGTAAGATTGTTAATTAAATACAACCTAAAATACTGAAAATCTGAAGTTTTTCTCTTCCTTACTAAAGTAAGAAGTTAACAAATAACTAAATTACTTTGGAAGTATACTATAAAAGAAACCCACTGAAGCCACCTACTTTGAAGTTACATTAAAAGCCCTCTGGGAAAGATGAGCAGTTAATAATAATACAAAAGACAATCAAGCAAGCAATCTCTCTCTTCAGATTTGTACTTATTTTATGAGTGTTTGTTTGCATATATGCATGTGCACTACATGTGTGCTTGCTGTGCAATGAGATCAGAAGAGAGTGTCAGATCCCCTGGAACTGGAGTTACTGATGGTTGTAACTCACCTGTGGAGTACTGGGAACTAAGCCTGGGTCCGAGGCAAAAAGTAGCAAGTGCTCTTAACCACTAGGCCATCTCTCCAGCCTTAAAAGTCAATTTTTTAAACAGATTCAAAAATGTCATTGAAGTTAGTTTCAAAAATTTAAACAAACGAAAATTCAAGGAAAAAACACAATTTTAAGAAACAAAATTTGTAGCTGGGAATAGTGGCACACAATTTTAATCCCAACACTTGGGGGGGGGGGAAATGGGACCATGACATGGCACAGGACACACAGAAGAAGGAAGAAGGAGGAAGAGGAAATGGAAGAAAGAAAAGAAACAAAATTGATTTATGTGTTCAATTCAATACAGCTAGATTTGGATATCCAGAAAAGAAAATTGCGAAAAAAATTACTGAGTGTGTCTCAAAGAAGCAATATAATCATTTATGTAAAAGTTAAGTTTTTTTCTGAAATAAAAATACCAGAAAAATAGGCTATTTTAAGATGTATTCCTATGAAATGTATCTCAGAAAGGTAAAAATATAATTATGCTTAGAAAAAAATTAACAATGTGTGACCAGGCCAGACATGGCAGAGTATGTCTTTAATTCCAGCACTCTGGAGGCAAAAGCAAGATAATCTCCATGAATTCAAGGCCAGCCTGGTCTATGAGAGGACCAGGACACAAAGGACTATGTAGAAATCCTGTTTTTTTTTTTAAATAATAAAAAAATAAAATAAGTATGATCAGTGTTTAATGCTGGCTGATAATGATATTTTCTAACTTTTTCACAATAAAAATTATTTAAGTTGTATGCTTTTTAAAAATAGTGCTAAGAACTGAATGTAGGGCCTCATCCATGCTACACAAGTATGCTACCAATAACATATACCTACCTCAATAAAAATTATTTTAAATAGTTTTTTTTAAACTAAAAGACCCAGAGATGTTTTATAGTAAAGAACCCATTTCGAGGGCAGGAAGATATCTCAATCAGTCAAATGTCTACATCAATGAGACCCTACATACGGATCCACAGCACCAATGCAAAAAGCCAGTGGTAGTGGGGTATGTGTCTGTAACTCCGGCACTGTGGATGTGAGGCTCAATGGTTAGCCAGGCTTGCAGAATGGAAGAGGAGCTCTAGATTCAATGAGGAACCTTGGTTCATAGTAAACAAGGTGTAGTGACTAAGAAAAATGTCCAGTGTTGACCACTGGCCTCTGCTTGCACCTGTACACACATACATGTACACACAGAGAAGAAGCCTCTTTCCATGTCCCTGATTGTCCCAGGACTCCACCTACCCAAGTGACTAACATCTAGTCCTGTTTGTTTCCAGAGAGAACATAAGCTCTTAGAACATAAGGACTGCATCCTCTTTTGCATTGTGTGTGCGCTCGTGTTGTGGGTAGGTGGTGTGCACAGCAAAGCATGTCTGTGGGGGTCAGAGAACAACTCTGTAAAGTCATTTCTCTTCATCCACCTACATATGGGTTTTGGGATCCAACTTGTTCCTAGGCTTGCACAGCCAGCACCTTTACCTACTAAACAATGTCACCAGATCCAAAGACTGTCTTAATTGCCTGAATATGTCTAGTACCTCAATAAACAAGACAATAATCACTTTACATTCAAATGTTTACTTTTCAGATAAATTAAACAAACATCTTCAATGAAACATCTAATATAAGCTAAAATTTTTCTATATAAATAAATGGGAGTATATTGTTAATAAAAAATACTGATCTCAAATAGTATAAAATGAAACAAGTACAAAACTACCATAATCAAGGACGAGTAAAACTCTTAGCCATCCTTTGCATCTTTAGCAATACTCACTCTTGAGAGATTCTGATGAGGAGAATCACAAAGGCTTTCACGAGTACTTTCATTCCTATAATTGTGTTTTCTTGGGCTTTTAGGTCGTGTTCGACTTGGCATATCACTATCTGAGGGTCCAGATGCATCCATCTTTGGATAAAGTTTTAAAAATGGTTTCAAAAATAGCATCCATAGTACTAAAAACTAGAATTAATCCAAAGTGTCTACATAGTGACAAATTTCTCAGGTTATCTAAAAACACATTATTAACAACATCAAGTTCAAAAGTAAAGTCCTTAAGGGGTTTTCAAAAACTCTGACTTGCCCTTGAAAGCTCAAATATTACATTGGAAACATTTGTTACTCTTGAAGTAACATGTTCTTTCCTTCTCTTTCAAGAAATAATCTGTCAAATACACAAGTCAGATAACAAGTTTACATGTCAAGCATTCCTTCAAGTAAGATGGCTCAGTGGTTAAGAACATTAGCTGCTCTTCCAGAGGTCCTGACTTCCATTCCCAGCAACCACATGGTGGCTCACAACCATCTGTAAGAAGATCTGTTGCCCTCTTCTGGCCTGCAGGGATACATGCAGACAGAACACTATACAGAATAAATAAATTAAAAAGAAAAAAAAAAAAGAACGGTAGTTCATGAATTAGTTTCATCTTCAATTCAGTTGCTTTACTACAAACTTCATACTCTGATAAGCAGCAGGCCATGTATGTACTTGTTTCATCACACAGGATATGAGAACAAAAGGCCCTCACATGAGCCAAGTCTTCATAATTTTACAACTTTACTAAAAACAATACTCTTTGAGTCAAGGTCTGTTAAAATAGTGAGTCAACTTCAACTTCATGGTTCCATGGCCTTCTTTCCTGCTTTATCCTCTCAAATGCTGAAGTTATAGGCATAGCCCTTATCCAGGATCACCCATTAAAACATCCTTAAACTAGCATATTTTACTGTATATGACGGGAATGAATACAACAACAGTTTATTTTGGAGTCACTTCCTTGTTCATGCTAATGTGACAATAGTTTGCCTACCAGTTACTTCTGCACTATCAAAGAAAATGTTAGTCACTTGCCACATTATTTGAGGCAAGATCTCTCACTGAACCTGGAACTCCACAGTTCACAGAAGCTGGCTAGGCAGAGTGCTGCAGGGATCCATCACCTGTCTGTCTCCCCAGGACAGAGATTAAATGAAACACAAACCACGATGCCCAGCTTTCACACGGTACTGTGACGAGCACTTTACCTATTGGGCTATCTCCCAAAGCCCCTATTACAAAATAGCTCTGAGTTCACATACTCCCAAAAGGTTCAACAGCTTATAGGAGGAGGCTGCATACCATACTTTAAATGCTATAATGTGGAAAAATATTAATTGCAATATTCAAAATGTCAAAAGGCTTTAAACAAAAATGGCATATACCCACTAAGAAAACAAACATGTCTGTCTACCTTTCTATAGTGGAACACTATATCATGAGAAAGAACTGATCAGCACTCCCTATGCCAGCTGACTTGCAAGGATCTCAATAGGCAGGTACAATGTGCAGCAAGAAAGAGGTGTATATAAGGCAATCAGTATGTAAACAAACACATTTATTTACACAGAATCTTATAAGCACAATAAAAAACAAAATATACATGCCAAGTTTCTAATGCAATTTGAGTTTATGTAAACAAAACACAAAGGCAGACACAATTAAATGCTGACACAGTATAACTGTATTCACTTACCATGTAACTCATACATATAGATATATAAAAAGAAAATGCATTTTTTAAAGAAAAAAGAGAAATGCTATCTTTTATACTTACATGTGCATCTGAAGACCCTGATGAATGTACATCCGATGATCGGCTCTATGTATCAAAACAACAAAAGCAAATATTTAAAGGATTGGAAAGTCTTTCTACATTGTTTCTTATGCTGCAGAGGTTTAATCTTCCCTAGCTTTCAGTCACTACTTTTTCAGCTAATGAAACTGAATGTAATGGCAGTCTCTGGCTTACAAAAAAAGTCGTGACCCAAGGTAAAAACATGTTAAGTCGATTATTTAAAAATAACAATGCATATTTCCAAATATCTGACACAAATACAAATGAAAAATCTGAACTGTAATTACTTTTTCATTTTACAGGCTGCAAACCCACCACTATCCGTAACAAAACATTTATACAAAAACTTCACCCAAGTCCTAATGCTAACACGTCAGAGCAGCACTTCCTAGGTCACAGAAATCTCCCTTCCTTTTTCTAGTCACTCAGCAAACATAAATAGGTTGTAACAACAAGAAAGCACACTAACCTTCATTGCTTAGAAGAAGGCACAGCAGTCACTAAAGAACTAGTTCAAGGAAAGGAAAATCTCATCAAATCCCCAAACAGCTGCCATTTTCAACTTGATATAAGAAAGCTGCTGCTGCCAAGCTGGTATGGCGAAGCCATTTAGTCCCAGCACTCAAGAAGGAAGAGGATCTCTGTGAGTTTGAGCCCAGCCTGGTCTACCTACATATCAAACTCTGGGGCAGTCAAGGATACATAATGAGACTCTGTCTCAGAGAAAGAGTACTGGCTAGCTATTTTTTTTTTTTGAGGGGGGGAAGAGGGAATGTTTTGAGAGTTTCTCTAACAGTCCTGACTGTCCTGGAACTTGTAGACCAGGCTGGCCTTGAACTCAAAAAGAACTCTCTGCCTCCCAAGTGCTGGGATTAAAGGCGTGCGCCACCAACACCCAGCCTTTCTCAAAAATAAAGATGTGGGGTGCAGGGACAGTTACCATCTAAACTCTGTAATACACATCTTGAAATCTGTAGTCATCTGGAAATTAGAAAATCCAAAATAATAAATGCCTACTTTCACAAAAGACGAATTCAGCCACGAGGCTAAAGGGAAGCAACTGCTAGTTGTTTCCTAGTACTAACCTGTAACAAAAAATAAATGACCCAGAGACTAACATTGGGGTTCAAACTTCAAGCTGAATATCAGGAAAGCAAAGCAGCTGACCACTAGCCTCTTACCTCTACCTCAGACTGAATGGGCTGATCCTGTCTCCAGGATCTCTCAAGAACCCTCAGACTGTAACTTCTCCTCAGCATGGCTGAAGGATACCTCATACTGACTACTCGCTCCTGCCTTTTATACCTCTCTAATGTTGGGACTAAAGGTGTGAGCTACAATTCTCTTTTAGACTAATTCACTCTTGTGTAGATCTGGGTGGCTTTGGACTCACAAAGATCCGTTACCTCTTAATCCTGGGTCCTAGGATTAAAGGTGTGTGCCACCACCTCCTATCTTCTGGCTGCTAGAATTAAAGGTGTGTGTCACCACTGCCTCATCTCTATAGCATGAGGCTGATTTTACTTTTCTGAATCCTCAGTCAAGCTTTAATATATCACTATCCTAACCAACTAGAAAACAAAAATAATGTAACAGTAACAAGAAATAGAAACTATTCAGAAACTAACTTTAAAGGTATTTTAGAAGAAAAAACACAACTTTATGAAAACTTCATTCATCCAAATCACCTTTTGAAGGCTCATTCCTGGACAGGAAAACTCTACTAAAATCACATTAAAATTATCCAAAATTATGTATGTAATACAACTTTATTCAAGTCGAAATCCCAAAGAAAACTCTTTACAAGTAGAAAGGGAATTAATTGTCAAGATATCCCTGAAGTTTACATTGAAGCAGTAGCTTGCGAGATGCAGCTTAAAAAGACAGCATCTCGCCGGGTGGTGGCGGAGCACGCCTTTAATCCCAGCACTTGGGAGGCAGAGGCAAGCGGATCTCTGTGAGTTCGAGGCTGGGCTGGACTGACAGCCTCCAAAACATTACAGAGAAACCCTGTCTCATAAAACCAAAAAAAAAAAAAAAAAGACAGCATCTTCTTAATCTATGTGTCATAACCAAATGGCCTTGTCTAGGATTCCTCTTTTTTGTTTTCATTTCTAGAATTTAAAAATAAAAGCCACCAGATACTCTGCCTGTTTCCCTGTAGTTAAATCTCTTCAGACTCCCAGACATTTGTAATCTAATCATGAAGACTATCACTTAGGGCCACTGAGACAGCAGGTAAAGGTGCCTGCCACCAAATCTGATGACTTGAGTTCAATTCCTTCAACCCACCTGGTGAGAAAGAACCAGGTAAATAACAAAATGCAAAACCAGAAATGTAAAAAGGCTATCACTTCAATAAATAACTGTTCATCAAGTTGGTAAATAATGTCAAAATCAAAGGTAACTAGTTCAAAAGTCAGCTACAATGTGATGAACTTGTAAATAAAGCAGCCACAGCAGGACCTGAGAAGATAAATCAGCTGGTTTCCACAAACCTCTCACCAATGATATGCTGCTTAGCTACTCAGCATTCAGATCAGAGTTAATTTTAGACTTATGATTAACAAAGAGATGCAAACTGAGGTTCACAAGATTTTCGTGTGTGTGTGTGTGTGTGTGTGTGTGTGTGTGTGTGTGTGTGTGTGTGTGTGTCTGTGTGTCTGTAGATGGGCAAATAACAATGCATAGAGGTCAGTTCTCTCCTACCACCTGAGTCTCGGACTGAGCTGGGGGGGGGGAGGGGCGCTGGTCAGGCTTGCCAGCAACACCTTTACCTGCTGAGCCATTTCGCTGCCCTGAACACTAAAGAAACAACACAGTTGAAACAATATGGTTATACCACAAGAGTACATCTGGCCAGGCAAATCTTAATCTGGCAAGGAAAGGAAGAATGCCAGGAAGCACTTCTAGGAAAGGATATGAAGATATTTGAAGTAATCCCTCATAAACCCAGCAATGCAATAACCTCTAATCTCTGGCCCTCCAACCTTCAAATTCTTTCTAATCTATATTTTTGAGCAACTCTCCTAAAGGACTTTCCAGTTCTCTAATTTAGCCCAGTCATTATCTGTCCAGTCTTAGTTCCGTTTATTCTCCCCATGAACACTACCTGGACTGACCACTCAACAATTCATTTCCCAATTGTTTACTGTCTTCATCTTCCCCAGTTCTTTTTAATGCCCCAACATACAACCTTCAAAGCTCTGCTCAATGTTCAAAGCAATCAATCAAATTCCACTAAGCTCTGGACAGCTCCCAGTCTCCCCACTCAAGTATCATTTCCTTCCTTTCAGATACTTCTGACAGCTCTGCCTTGTTCTGTGTACTGACTCTCTCCCATTACACAGCATGCTCTCTCTAACTCTTCACATTTCTTGTTTGAAATGTTATATCTCAGCATTACACTCAAGACAAAGCAAGAGAAAGAGCTTCAATATAACTGTTGACTTATATACACACTAGACTACATATCACTCTGTCCATTCATTAATAAGTGGCTATTCAAGCCAAACCATGGTTTCCAGTTAAAACACACACAATTTGGGGGTTGGAGGGATGGCTCAGTGGACAATTAAAGAGCACTGGCTACTCTTACAGAGAACTTGGGTTCAGTTCTGAGCACTTACAAAGTGGCTCTAACTCCTGTCCCAAGGGATCCAATGCCTTTTTCTGGTCTCTATGGGTAACAGTCACAAACATGGTCTGCACAGGCACACATGTGGTCCACAGACATACACATAAACTAGTTTTTATTTAGTTTTTAAAAACTTCAAGAGCATTAAAACACTCTGTATAATATAGTTAAATTATTTATTCACACACAAAAACTATCAAAATAGGAAATGCTTAAATACATTTTAAACGTCTCTAAATTTTCCTAAAAGTTGAGGAACAAACCTCTTAATAATAGCCTCAAGTGTTATTGGCTTTCAAAATTTATTTGCAGGTTGAGGGTGTACCGCAACGACAAGAGTATGCACTCTGTGCGTGTACAAGGCACTAGAATCAACTCCCAAGGACACCACAGTTTAAAAGGCAATCTGCAAGACTAATTTTTCATTTTAAAATCCCACAGCAAAACTTTTACTTATTACAGAAGTGCTGCTCTGTAAAAAGGGTTAGAGAAACAGAAGTCTTCAACTTGTACACCAAATGACTTCATTCATGTGCCACTATGACTGTATTTTCTAAGGTTTATTTTCCAAGGGGAAAGTTTCAGAAATAAAAGCCAGAAGAATTAGAAGGATTTTAGAAAACAAATCAGTCCATTAAGATATTTTTTAACACCAACAATCCATAATCTAGCAAAATAGTTCTGAAAACTCATCTAAAACACAGGAGCTAAAGCAGTGGTTCTCAACCTGTGAGTCACAGGGCCCTTTCACAGTAATTCCAGTTCCATGGGACTAATGCCCTCTTCTGACTTCCTTGGACATCAGGCACAAACATTACATACATACAGTATTACATTCAGACAAAACTCCCATACACATAACATAAAATAAATCTATTTAAAACATACTAATCAAGAAAAATGGGAGTTCAGAAACCAGAGATTTAACTCCATTAGGAAAGTGCTTTCCCAGCATGCACAAGGCCCTGGTTTGATCGCTAATACTTTTCAAAGTTTGTGTTCTGCTTGGAATTTTTCATACTTAAATCCTCAACACACACACATACACACATACACACACAGGAAAAAATAAACAGGAATCTCAAGTCTTGAATAGATTCCAATTTTACTATGTTAAGCATTGCTTTTTTGCTAGTACGCAGTCTTTCAATTCAATACTACATGCTCAAAGATTCAGTAGTTTGATAGCAGTGTGCAACAATTCCCTCCAAACTAAACCTCCATGTTGGACAGAAAATCTTAAAACACAGTATTCTAAAGGGGAAGCTAACAATCTAAAAGCTTCAAGAAGTCCCTGAAACTAACCAGGTACCCTAGACTCCTACCTTTTCAAAGAAATTAAGTGCTGAAGACTCCTGAGAGACATTCTCAGACCAAAGTCACCTGAAAGAGAGTGGCTAAGTTGCCCAGAAGACTCTTAGACAAGCTGAGCTGCTTGGAAAAAGTTCAGATCAAATTGCAAATAGCTGTTTTTGAGTCATTTCTGCTCCTGTAAATAACATCTCATCCATAGTCTTGTAAGTAACCTCAATATAATACATTGGACCTTGCTGGTATCTTTTGGTCTGCCTGTCAGTAAGTAGACACTGGTTCACATCTCCCCAGAAGTGTTACACTGAAACATATTTTTTTTAAAATGAAAAACAAGGGGGGGGGGCAACTGGGACAGGCAAAATGGCTTACCTGGTAAAGCCACTTGCTGCCAAGCTTGACAATCCTAAGTTTGGTCTCAGAACCCAAATGATAGCAGAAAAAGAACCAACTACTTCAAGCTGTCCTCTGACCTTAACCCATGCCCATACATAAACACACACAATAAATGTATTTTAAAAAAAAGGAAAGGAAACAGGTACTGTCACTGTCAGAATGAAATTATCATCCTATTTGCATCCTCATTCGTATTAACATGCAAAACAATAATGTCAAAATAACAAATTTTTTGTTTGTTTTTAGGAACAGGGTTTTTCTGTGTAGCCTTGGCTATTCTGGAACTTGCTCTGTAGACCAGGCTGTCCTCAAATTCATAGAGATCCTCCTACCTATGCCTCCTAAGTGTTGGGAATTAAAGGCATGGACCACCACTCCCAAAAAAACAAATTTTTAATAAATTATTTTAATGTTTAGCAATATCTTAAATTAACAACCATAGGTTCTGTCTCTCCCCTCTGAAGCAAAGCTATAATAAGGCTCCAAAACCCCTCCTAAGGCCAAGAAATACTTTAGTAAAATAGAAAAAAGATGGAATAGGAAACTTCTGTTCATTTCTAAAATATGTACTCAGTGTCTACCAGGAGATATTAAGATGAAATGTACAGAACAATTATATGAAAATAGAAGGGAATGTGGGAGGGTACTTCCCCCATCAAGTCCACTTATCAGGGACAAATACATACACTGTGTACATCATTTGACTATAAATACATAGTTATTTTTAAAAATAAAAGGAACTCTAGTTGTTTGTGTATTTGTAATTAAGAGACATGAAGGCCACCAGTAGTATAGTCAGAATATAGGCACTTGCCACACAGCACAAGACCTGAGTTTGATCCTTGGAACCCAGTGTCCTCTGACTTTCACACATGCACTGTGGCATGAGGGTCCAAACACACTCACACTCTCACACACACACACACACACACACACACACACACACATTTTTTAAGAGAGTTCACCATTATCAATGGCAAATGCCCTGCATCTTGTACAAAGTTAACATTTTCTTCAATGTCTAGAAATGACTAATAAGCACCTCTATCCATATTGATGGAAATATTACTACCAAGGAGCATGAAACAGAAGTATCTATCTACCTGATGTACATTGTAGAATACAAGGTAAATAACCATTATTTCCAGAGAAAGAAACCAAGTCATATGAAAGGCTGGCAATTCCAAATACTGTTGTGCTAGCCAATATGATTTTACAATCTAATAATGTCTGAGCACATTCAAAGTGAAAAACAGCAATTTGAGCAGTCATTGTGACAGCTGATGATTTACGATCACAGCATCAAAAGTGTTTACCCTAACACTCCTAGAACCAAGCGCTAGCGCTCTCTATTTCCTTTCAAAAGAAAAAGAACTGGAAATATTTAACCTACACCTGTAATCCCAACTCTGGAGAAATGGAGGGAAGGAGAATCAGGATGCTGAGGGTTATAGTGTAAGCTCAAGTCAGCCTGGGCTACATGAGGCCCTATCTGAAAAACCTACTAGCCAGGTGTGGTGGTACACACCTTTATAAACCCAGCACATGGGAGGCAGAGGCAGGCAGATCTCTGTGAGTTAGCCTGGTCTATAGAGCAAATTCCCAGACAACCAGGGTTGTTACACAGAGAAACTCTGTCTTGAAAAAATAAAGAGGAAAAAACAAAAAATGGGTAAGTAGGATGGGGTGGATGATGTGCAGATATAGAGGAAGTAAAATTTACTATACATTTATAGACACTAACTCAGTCAACCCCATAACAAAGATTTTCTCAGGAGAGCAGCGGTGGGGCACGCCTTTAATCTCAGCACACAGGAGGCAAAGGCAGGCAGTTCTCTGTGAGTCTGAGGCCAGCCTGTTATACAGAGCAATTTCAGTACAAGAGCTATACACAGAGAAACCCTGTCTCAAGAAAGAAAAAAAAAGATTATCTGTAATAAAATGAGAAAAGTTGAGGCTCAAGACATTAAGCAATGTGCCTTAATATTATCACATATATATTTAATTGAATCCAAATGTCTTCTTTTCAAAAACTACATATAACCTTGCCATTCAATTACAGCACTTCATTACTAATGGAGAAATCATGGGAAAAAATTTAAGTCTTGCGGACACCAGTAAAACACCTGTTAGTAACATCTAAAAGACTATACACTGAAAAAAAAAGTGTTAATAGAAAAATCCAACAAGTTACTTAATACTTAAAGGGAGCAACTACACGTTCACAGCTATAAGAAATATTCTTTCTGTTGTTGTTTTCGAGACAAGGTTTCTCTGTGTAGCTTTGTAGACCACGCTGGTCTCGAACTATCAGAGATCTGCCTGCCTATGTCTCCTGGGCGCTGGGATTAAAGGCGTGTGCCACCACCGAGCTGAAAAGTATTCTTTTAGAAGGACGTTTGAACACATTGAAAAGTTTTCAATGTATCCAGGCCTCAAATAGGGGATACTTAATTCTTTGAGAAGAAAAAACAAGAGTATTTATAGATGTGGGTAGCTTTAATAATAACAGCACCCTCATACAGTGAGATGTTTTCATCAAGAGTCTTAAATGAAGGTTGGCATCTTGAGGTACCCCTTTATTTACCGTCTCCCCAAGAAAGGTGAGGAGGGGAATCTACTAGAAAGAAACTAACTTCAGTAAAGGTTTGGTGTAAACACAACCAAAACTGCACCCCTACTACCATAATTTCACATAACTAAAGAATGTCCAGTATGGTCATCGCTATTTGCAAAGCAAATATGGGTCAATCGTTCAGCAAAATGGCAGAAAAATTCATTCTAATTAGAAACAGAGAGAGCAAGTATTCTATGTGTTGTTTCTCAAATGAAACGGCAAATCCAAGACCTTTTCTGTAAACTTAATTACCTAATAACTGACTGATAACCATACACTTTTTAATTCCCTAGACTTTTAAGTGTAACCCAACTTCTTGTCTCTGCATCTAAAGCCTCATAACTGGTTTATGCCAGTACTTATTACCTTTAATACCGAGTTAAGGGATGAGAATCTCAGAACAAAACAATACAGAATACGAAAAAAAAAAAACTTACTAAACGCCCTGGCCAAGATGACAACTAATACCAGATGTTAACACAACCTTACTAACAAACTACTTTCACTGCTCAACGGTTTCCCCCGCAGAGCTCTGGGCTCCCGGTAAATCAATGCAAGGTGCTATTCTTTGGGAACTTTCCAGGTCTACAGTAGTTTTCCCACACAGTGATGGAGACCACAAGTCCGCGGCCCTCCAAAGTGCCGTTCACTTTTCACTTCCTAAGAAGTGATGGGAGAGCCACATGTGGAACCCGAGGCACAGAGAGCCGCTCCCTCCCCGCGACCCACCCAGAGGCCATCCACTGGTGGGTCTCTCCCACATTGAGACCGTCCAGGCCAATTTCCTAGAGGGTATGAGAGAAACTGAGAGAGGCCAGGGGCTGGTGAGACCCGACATTAAGAAGGTGGGGGGTGAGGGAGAGAAATAAGACACTGGAGACCGGGAACCTTCCCGCCTCTCCCAGACGCCAGCCCGCGACCTCCGAGCGCAGCAAGCTGCGACACAAGGACGCCGAGCCAGTATCTCAGTCACTGGTCTGACCCCAAAACCAGAAGAGGGGCGAGCCGCGCTCGCCGCCGCCCCCAGGCACGTTAGTGCGGGACTGAATCCCGGCCGGGACGGACGCGCGCTCTCAGGCCTCTCAACCTGCGCACCTTGGTGCAGCGGTGCCGGGCCCACTGTGGCGACCAGGCCTTAGGCCCTCACCCCAGTAAGCTCTCGAAGGCCACAGATTTCTGGAAGCCCCAGATCACCGTGAAAGACCCGCTGACTGACGGAGATCTCTAAGAAACTACCTTTGAACTGGCCTTCTGAGATCCGCCTGGCGTTTTGTCGGCCATCTTGAGCTTTGCTCCTCCTTCAGCGGAGGCAGCAGCGCGGGTGAGTCGAGCACCGAAAGAGCCGATCGCAGCGGAGCGCGCCAGAGTCCTGCCAGGCTGAGTAGCCGAATGCCGAAACAGAGACCGCAGACGCGCCGCGCCGCGTGACTTCCGTGTCGAGTCGCCCCGCCCACCCCGCTCGTCTTCCGGTGACTGGCGGCGTCTCGTCACGTTACGCGGCCGCGGAATTTAGGGAATCTCCTTGACCCGACTTTCAAGGCCAACTGATAATTCAGTGATTTTTTTTTTCTTTCTCGAGCCAACCGGTGTTAGCTGCAAGCGGGTTCTACTTCCTGTGGGGGAGGAAAGGAAGCTGCTCCTTAGAAAGAACGGCAGGAGCCACGTGGGCTGAGCGTCCCCGCTAAGAAAATAGACCTGGCTGTCTCCACACTTGTTTGCGCCACGGCCCCTCGGGACCTCAGGCCTTGGTGGGAAGGCAGAGTTGCAATCTGCTCACGTTAAAACGGTGAGCCGTGAGCTAGTGTGACTGCAGAGTTGAGAAAAAGCATTTGGCCCAACCCGAGGGTAGTCGGATAAAAACCGTTTAGGACCTGCAGAGCCTGAAAGAAAACAAAAATCGTAGAGACGGTGTTATAAAAGGAGCGTATGTGTAAATTTTATTTATTTAATTATTGTTACGTCGTAGTGCAGGCACGCCACAACAACCGTATGGAAGTTAGAGGATAATTTACAGGGGTTGTTGCTCACCTTTGCATCCCGATGGGATCCGGGGATCGAACTCAGGTGGGCGGGAACCCTCAGCCAGCGCCTCTTACCCTCTGAGCCATCTGCCTGCCAGCTTCCGTTTCTTTGAAGCATAGTTACAAAAGCTGTGGCAGAAGATGGCTTTGGACTGCGGTTCTCTTGTCTCTAAGCCTGTCTCTCAGCCTCGGGTCCTGAGGTTAGTCTTGTGCCACCATGCCCCCTGGTTTTTCTTTGTTTTGGTTTCTCCAGATAGTGTTTCTATGTAACCCTGGCTGTCCTGGAACTCACTCTGTAGACCAGGCTGGCCTCGCACTCAGGAGATCCACCTAGCCGGGCAGTGGTGGCGCACGCCTTTAATCCCAGCACTCGGGAGGCAGAGGCAGGCGGATCTCTGTCTGGGCTGGACCGACAGCCTCCAAAACAATACAGAGAAACCCTGTCTCGAAAAACCAAAAAAAAAAAAAAACAAAGAGATCCACCTGCCTCTGCCTCCTGAGTGCTGGCATTAAAGGTGTGAGCCACCACCGGCCGGCTCATTGAGAGTTCTTAATCAGGCTCAGGATTCAAAGGAAAGCTTGCTTGACAAGGTCAGTGTGGAATCAAGTGGGAAAATGGAAAGGTATCCTGGGTAGTCGTTAAAGTAAAAGTCTTATAAAATTTGTCAGTACAATCCTTTGTACGGATCACCACAAGCGTCAGGGTGACCAGTTGTAGGGAGGGGACAGGAACAAGTTCACATAGGAGGCCCAGGTAACTGGTCTGGTTATGAGTTAGAATCGTATTCTCAGGATGCAGTAGGTTTTAAGTAGAGTCGTGATAGGAATGCTGAAGTGTAGGCTTCATAACTTGTTCCTAATTCATTATGTGAGCCCCGCTGGGTTGGTTGGTTGGCTGGTTTGGGTTTTGGTTTCCCTCCCTCCCTCAGCCTCCCCCCCCCTCTCTGGCTTTTTTTGGAGAGGGGGTGTTGGTTTTTACTGTTTCTCTGTATTGTAAACCAAGCTGGCCTTGAACTCACAGAGATCCACCTTCCTCTGCCTCCCGAGTACTAGGATTAAAGGCGTGTGCCACCATCGCCGGGCATCTTTCTCTCTTTTTTAATTACTTTTATTTTATATATATTGGTTTTTGCCATGGGTGTTGGATACCTTGGAACTGAAATTACAGTTGTCAGCTGACATGCGGGTGCTAGGAATTGAACCCAAATCCTCTGGAAGAGCAATTGGTGTTCTTAACCACTGAGCCATTTCTCCAGCCCTGGGTTTTGATTTTTTTTTTTAAAAGACAGTTTCTCTGGCCACTGCTTCCTGAGTGTTGGGAATAAAGGCATGTCCCACCACCCCACGAGTCCTGCCGTTTTTAATCTATAAAAAAGCCTGCACAGTGTTGTGACTTACAAAAACAAATAAATAATAACAATATACAATGCAGCCAGACGTTGGTGGCTCATGCCTTTAATCCCAGCACTTGGGAGGCAGAGGCAGGCGGATCTTTGTGAGTTTGAGGCCAGCCTGGTCTACAGAGTGAGTTCCAGGACAGCCTCCAAAGCCACAGAGAAACCCTGTCTCGAAAAACCAAATATATATATGTATATAATGCAAAACTTGGGAATAAGGACAGCAAACACAGAGATAGCAAAGTAACCCTGTGCATAACCGATGCTGAAGAAAGGAACAGTAGGGAAGGGAACTGAGAGAAGTAATTAGCTGGAGAGTGGGAATGGGGGAAGAGATGGTAGGCAGATTCACTGAAGCAAGAACATTTGCCAGGCAGAAGTTGAATTTTATTTTTTGTTGATGGGGTTATGGTAAAGGGGGTCGGTGAAGCACTTAGAATAGAAGGCTGTTTCTCAGACCCTCTCAAAAGGGCAATAGGACCTGGTGCCAGGCATAGTTAGGGAGTAAGGGTAGAAGCCATAATAACAGCAAGCCTGGTTAGAAAGTAACGTTTGCTATACGTGAAATTACAATAGAATACTGTTCTGTGCCTTGCTGCCCAACTGAATTTATTTCCATTCTCGGATCCCACCCCTGAGTTCTGAGCCTCTTCTCTCAATCTGACCCTCACCTGTAATTGAGATCTAGTTAATTTTTTACACTCGCTAAAGATATCACTTCCTTCAGGAAGGTTTACAGACTTCCTTCCCCAGCCAAGACTGCTGGAAATGTTTCTGTTTCCATGGGAACCCATAATTTTCCAACTAGAGTGTATCACATTAGATCTTAATTGTTTAGTCTAGGATTAGAAATATCTCCAGGCATGGTGGCAGGTGGGTCTCTGAGTTGAAGCCAGCCTGGTCTACAAAGTCAATTCTAAAACAGCCAGGACTACACTGAGAATCCCTGTCTCTGAAGAAAGAAAGCAAGTGAGATTGTCAGCAGAGACAGCAAGGCCTGGGACTGGGTGTTCTGGCATTCCGCCAGCTGCCTTGAATATATGAACATGAACATACGCAGCTCCTCAGTCAAACCCCCAAACCCCTACTTTTGAAAATGATTTTTACTTCAGAAAACCACGACCAATCAAAATGCAGAGTTGTGAAGCCCAGTCCCAGTGGATACATCTGTAAAACATTCCTTCACCTAAGGCTTCGGAAACACTGCAAAAGAGCATGCAGAAAGATTGTAAGAGCCAGGAGAACTGGAGTTTACTGTGAGATCGTAATATCAGAAGCTACACCCACAGTCTCACTAATGTGACTGCCCTGAACAAGGATGACACCAGTGAACATGCCAGACTGGGAAGAGAAAAGCTCACAAGGCCTGAAGGCTGCCCAAAGAACTGTAAGTGGCTGAGGAAAGCTGGGAACAGGAGAGGTGACTTTCCCAGGGAAGAACACACCAATTGGTTGTCCAGTGCCAAACAGCTCTGAAAACATACATACAAGTAACATGATATGGACTGAATGGGTTATATCTAGGGGTATGTGTGTATCCATGTAATAAAAATTAGTGGAAAAAAAAATGAGGCCACGAATTTAAACCGCAGAAAAGGGCATGTGGGAAGGTTTGGAGGGAGGAAAGGGAAGCCTTTGCTATAATCTCTCTAAAATAATTTGTACTAAATGTTCACCCCTACATGTTTAAAAAAATGCAGAGTAAGGTCCAAAGCAAGTTGTACAAATGTGTCCTGATAGAAGTAAGACTTGGTCTTTATTAAGACCAATTAAGTCTAATCTTAAAGCTTTCAAATCATAATTATAAACAGTTATCCTTAGTACATTTAAACCATGTCATCCTGACCTGGCTATTCAAACTACAAATGAAGGAGAATGACTCATTAAATGAATCCAAGTAGACCTACAGAGCCTGAAACAATTGCTTCATGATTACTGTTCACCAGGGCTTGCACATAGTAGAAAGCACCGTAAAGTTTACTGCACATTGCCCTTCTACCCTGACAGCAAACACCACCGCTCTCGTCCTTGAGTGTCAGCTCTGGTGTCCTCACAGCCACCATTTGTTCAGTTTCACCTGCAATGACCTTTTCCATCAGAAGTCGCAAAGTAATACCCAAGACATTCCATCAAAATGTTTGTTTAGTTTTAGCAGATTTTTTCCTTTGAAATTTCATCTAGTGTTTTACCATGGGGAGATTTTACATAAAACTCATTTTCTTTGAAAATGGAAAAGACTGGCAATTCCAGGGGACAGTCCAGTCAAGATGAGCTACTGCACCCTCTAGGGACAGGAGCTGTACACCCCAGTTGACCAGGCTCTCACCATGTACATGCTAGACAAGTTTTCCTCATGAAGCCTGCCTATGGACAATGTGGGACAGCCTAAGTCATATTCAAGTATCCAGGCAATGACCAGAGCTGAAAGCAGCTAGGCAGAACAGAGGGCCCAGGGCCTTGGTTCCATGATTTTAGGTGCCCCCCATTTTTTCTTAAAATGGGGAGGGGAATGTAGGCTGTGTTTAACAATATGAATGATACCGGACTGGAGAGATGAGTCGGTAGTTAAGAGCACTTTCTGCCATTTGGATCCCAGCACCCCTGTCAAGTGGCTCACAACGACCTGTGACTCCAACTACAGATTTGATACACTCTTCAGGCCACTCAGGTCACCAGCACATACATGGCAGACAACAAATAAAATAAAATTTTTTTAAATGGTTGTGGAGGCTGGGCTGTGGTGGCGCACACCTTTAATCCCAGCACTTAGGAGGCAGAGGCAGATAGATCTCTGTGAGTTCGAGATCAGCCTGGTCTACAAGAGCTAGTTTCAGGACAGCCTCCAAAGACGTAGAGAAACCCTGTCTCCAAAACAAAAAAAAACAAAAAAAAAATTGCTGTGGAATCTATATACTGAATGTGACCTTCAGTGTAATTGTTCCAAGCTGACAGTGTAGCCCAGTAGTAGAGTGCTTACTTGCCCTGCACACAAGCTCCTAAATTGATTCCTGGGGCCACAAAAAAAAAAAATCCTGAAAGCTAAAACTTACCATGTTGCTTAACTA